TCCTTTGAATTCGGAAAGTCATATTATAAAAGACTTCAAAAATAACTAAACTGCACTATWATTCTTTCCTCGTGGAAGTGTATCATCCACTAAAAAGTCGTMTATTTTTCAACCACAGGCAGTGGTGTTGATGTGAATCAAGCATTACGGTCTGCCGCTGACCATGTTTTTACCATATTTGGTGGCGTTCGACAGACTGTCCCAAAAACATTCGTTATCTTTATACCTCAACCGGAAACTGTTGATCAAGATCTCATCAAAGCCATGACTGAAAAACTTAAGAGTATGGGTGTAAGAATTATGTTCGTTGGATTGCAAGAGAAGATTGATACACCATTYTATGGTCAACTCTCCTCTCAGCCTTCAGCACGATACCTTTTGACAGGATTTGATATCAAAGAGCTCACTGAAGTAGCAACGTACGAAGCTGTCGACACTATCTGCAAAGGTACGGAGCTTATTTRTACATTGTAATTTAAATGAACGTTTTTTAGAGTAGTTGAATCGACATCATTATGCCGTTAAAGTTGCCTGTGGAAACTGGATGGGATCACAGCATATTGCTCGAGATTTAGCCTRCTCTATTGCTTTTATTGTTCAACGACAAACGTTTCTGACGCGGCCGGCTCTATGCACTGATAGTACCCTTCCGCGGAGGGTCCTGTCGCGTCACGTGTTCGACTCACCACCAATAAGAGCGGAGGAAAATTTGTCGTTGAATTATAAGCGGTCATAGAAAACCGATAGGAAATATGTAGGAATGTTACTCAATGATTCTCCTTTCTCATAAATCTTATCATATTATTCTTGTCCACATATATATTTTAATTGTTTCAGCTCGATACGGGAAGTGTCCAATAGGCGAACCACCAGCAGAATGCCCAGAGGGCGATCCTGATAACACGGAATGCAAGATTGATGACGATTGTTCGAGCGGTGATAGCATGTGCTGTTACGACGTATGCGGCTCGTCACAATGTATTAAGAGAATAAAAAGTAAGTGAAAACAAAACATAGATATTGCYAAAGACCTTCTTTACTTGAAGATAACTTAACTAATCAAAGGTGCTGTTCATACTAAGCCCGCAATTTCTAAACCAACAAATTATTTKTTTACGAATGGAGRCTCTCTCTAGACCGACCGTATYTGAAAAGTTCAAAAAGGAATCATAAGTTGATCCACTAATTAAATTTAAGACTATAGGTTTCAAAAACGTCGAAAAAAATGATTATGTTGAGTCGTGAAAAGCTTACCATTCGCATGATTTGAACAAAGCTAATAATAAAGACTGGTGTAACCTATTCTTGGGTTTCAACCACATGATCAAGAATCTCTCGAGAATTAAAGAACAAAGCTATCGCAGTCATGTTGGATGGCTGGACAAGAAAAACGAATGAGGAATGCTTGTTATYGTCATCCAACATGGCTGCGATTACGTAACGTGAAACCGAGGWATAATCTGAAAATTAATTCAAATTATACGAAATATGGTATGCAATTCAATATTATTCAACTCGAGTTTGTGTATGGAATCTGGAATCCGATAATTTTTCTTTTATAGATTGCTTTGTTACGATGGATGTCGCTTTAGCCATTGATTCGTCAGCAGCAGTCAATGACGCGGACTTCAAGAGAGTCCAAGCCTTCACCAAAAATCTTGTGCATCACTTTGCTGATTCCGAAAACAGCATCCACTTTGGTGTGCTCCAGTATGGTGCTAGTGCACAGACAATAGTGGACTTTAACAAATATGTTTCCGACCCAAAAATCAAGCAGGTCATAGAYGGACTAGTTAAGGGCAGCGATGACACAAGACGGGTCGATCTTGCTCTTCAAARGGTCAAAAAGGATATATTCAGGTGAGTGTTGTGGTTATAGGATTGTCATCCGAGGTTTGTCAATTGTCATAGATCCCCAGTAGTTTATTCAAATGATGCATCATCTGTTGGGCAAACAAGGTTGTTGTTAGGTATTGTTGTGTTTTGACGTATATTGCAAACGACGAAAGCGTGAACTATCTGAGACCAAAAGATGACAGAGTTGTATGGAAAACTGCTTTCGATGAATATGATATGCTYTTTAATGCGTGTAATTATTGCTTTATATTTGTTGCACAAGTAATTTACTTACAAACGAGTTRATTAACCTTTTCGCGGGCCCCATGTTTGCTGAAGGCTGCAAATGAACAAGAGTTTCAAAATCATGACTTTTTCAGCAACAAAAATTATTTTCCTGAAATTGCAAAAAGATAATCAAGCTAAAAAGRGACAATTCTTTTTGGTTGTTGCCCGATCTGTCTCGCTTTGTTGCAAAACCACGGGCTCTCGATCCCTCTCAACTTTTTCTAAAAAAGGAAAGTTCTATTATTAGATAAATAAGATGTATTCAGAGCTTTTGGTCTTCTAGCATTGATCTTCATGATTTTTTGGTTCATATATCTAGCAAAAGTATTACATTTTGGAGTTAACCCTAGATTAAAGCAAATCGGGCTTTGAACAACTCGGCACMGGGGGGAAGGTACTCGACCCCGTTTCGRATAGGTATGTGCCGCCAGCGGTCTAAAATCCATACCCTGTTCAAGACAAATCGGAAAAATAAGGTCAAGTAAATACGCCGCAAACATCAAAACTGCAATTACACTGACATCCATCAAAGACAACAAAACGTCTTTGATAACACGTTAATCCTGGTACAATGAAACGGTATTTCTACTATTTCTACACACACAAAAATTATCTCGGTCTTTTATCAAAATTGTAGACCCTGTTTAAGACCCTGGCCAGCTGCACGTACCCTTATAGAAAATATATGAGAGGAGATCAATGTTCAAAATTTTGAATTTGGACATTTGTTTTTTTTAGCTTGGAGGGAGGAATGCGCCAAGGTCATCCTCGTTTCGTTATATTCATCACTGGAGGGGACACTGATCCTTCATCTGCTAGCCTCGCCAAAGCCTCTGAAGAACTTAGAGGTCTGGGCGTAAACATTTTAGCCATTGGAATTAACAGTGGGGTAAGCAAAAGCTTCCTCAATAATCTGGCTACAGATCCAAGGTTTGTTTATTCATTGGCCGGAGTCGACGAATTAAGTAAAATCAGGCCGTCAATCGAGAACGAAATTTGCAAAGGTTAGTCCATACACATTTTTGAATTTATTATATTGTTCTTTGTCTGAACGGAAGTCACCCTCGAAAAAATCAATACCAATCAAAAGCCGATTCAAAAAACTGCTCACCTATATAAAGGAACTGAATACACATCCTAGCAAAAATTATGGTAATCTGRATAAATTGATAACCGCATAATTATTTTGTTTCAGAAAAACCTGGGAAATGTCCACCTACAGACATAACAATTCCTAACCCCAGTTGCTATAGTGGTGAAGGTCAGCAAATCATCCATTGTGGYGTTTCAGCAGATAAACCTGGAGGAAAGAGTAGCGATTGGGATTGCCCTGGTGAACAAAAGTGTTGCATTGGTGCCGACGGCTGTGCAATCTGTACAGAACCCCCTAACGGTATTTTTTACAACTTGCTTGTTAACCTTGAAAACGTCATTCGTTGTCACAAATATTGCTTATAATGCAAGAATTGCCGAATGACATTATTACGTCACATCAAAATATTTTAATGCGGTCTTAACGTTAAGGACTATGGTCGACAGAGGCGCACAGCATCACTCAGTATCAAGGAAAATCATTGATACACAGTATATATCAAAACTAGACCAAATTAAGAGAGAATGTTATTAACAACACTCTATAAATTTTTCACTATTTCTAAGCAATTATACCCACTGCAAACATTTGGCTGTACGTATTGTGGGATAGGGACAAGGATCTTTTTATAAAAGAGTGGATTACGACACTTTCMATGATACCAGGTATTCGTTGGCAATGARGAAGCCATGAATTACCGAAACATGTTTGCTATCCAATCTGCAGTCCTCCTTTTAATGTAATATTAGTTTTGTCAGTTTTATGATCAATAAGAATAACTATATATTTTTTTGCTTTAGAATGCCGAGGACAATACGATTTAACCTTAGTGATGGAGAATTCTGCTTCGATTAGTCCTAAGAACTTCCAGAAAATGAAAGATTTTGCCAAAGAACTCGTCAGCGCATTTTTCATTTCCGAGCTTGGTACTCGAGTTGCTTCGGTTACATACGGGGACTCTGCTTTGGTGAACTTCAAGCTGAACACAGTTCCAGGTGTCAACAGGAAGATTGTTTACAGCGAGATCGACAAACTTCCATATAAGGGAGGTTCCGGAAGTGGAGTTGCTAAAGCACTTGAACAAGCTGTCMAATCTATTTATACTCAAGAAGGAGGAACACGTGATCTTAACAATAAGGTAATGTGGAAAAGTGGAAACTTTGATGCCAAGATGACGTAGCGTGGAATTTATCGATTTTTAATTTTTTTTTTGTTGAGCTGCGCATTTCAAATATTTTCAACTTTACTAAAAACGTGAAGTTTTATTTCGTTTTTTAATAGTAAAGTTGAAAAGTATTTGAAATGCGCTGCCCGACAACAAGACCAAAAGTTATGTTTCTCGAAGAGTACGGCTTGATTCCGCTAATTTTTTCACACGACAAATAAAATAGAATGTTGATAAAATGTTCTCAGAGCAAGCTTTGTCTATGACACAACGCCTTTATTAAGAATGAACTAAAATATCTGACCATGTTAATTTTAAATTGAAAGGTTTTTTTTGCCTCTKTCTTAGATTAAAAACAAAATTTTACTAGACGTTTTGATCCGAACAAAAAAACACTTTCAATTTATAATGGATCCTGGCTGCAATTTTCACATTTTRATTTTATCTCAAAAAGAAACTTTTATCTTTATGTAGTCTTTCTTTGTTGGACATTAATGATATTGCCGATACACATTACACATCAACGTTGGGTCAAGGCCGGTACACACGAGGGAGCTTGCTCTCGCAACAGACTCGTCCCAGTATCTTGGTCTCCCGTACTGTACCAATTTGATACAAGGAGCAAAACTTGAAGCAAAAGTTTTGTTACGCAATATATTTTCCCCTCAAATCGTTGGTGCAGATGCAGCGGATTTTCTTCGGRAGGATGTTACTGGAATGCGTTGCGGAAACAAGCTCGTGTGTACAGGCGCCGAAATAAAGAATTCTCGTAATCAGAGAACTAAGCACTTGATTAGTCATTTGCTGTTATGAACACCTCATTGTATGAAGTTATAAGGTTTATTCGATAAAACATATCGAGAAAGCCACATACGAATTGTTGTATTTTTATCTGCGCTCGCTCGTTGACCATATTTGGATTAATGACTTCCATATTTGGAGAGTGAGCCAACTCGCGCGCGTGAACCAGTGAAAACATAATTCAAAACTTTGTATAAGTAGTTTTGTGAATCAACCAAGAATAATTTTAACAATTTATTCCGAGTTTTCGACCTAAGCGGTCATCCACAAGGAACACAAAGACTTTACAAAAACCAAAACGCATTTAAACTGAAATCAAACTGTCTTTGCGCGCGCAGTAAAAACAGTGCGCGCGCTGTTACAAAATACAACATCATTCTCGATATGAAATCCGGATTTGACGATAAGTGGAAACAATTTACCGAATGTACACACTGCATCTACTTAGTCACAACATGCCATAAGTATTGTGATGTCGTGACGCACCCCGACCCGGTTAGTAGGGGATAATTGTTGTAAAGACATTTGCAGTTTGGCATGTGTTGACTGTGATGGATCAAAAGTAAAAAGGTTGTTTGCAAGTTTTTGAAATTCTTAGATATTCCTTAATTTTCAACTGACTTGTCTTTCCTTGTTGCAGTCACTTGTCATAATGGGCACGGGTAAGTTCCTCAGTGCGAAAAGGGCAGCTCTAATGGCCAACAAGTTACGTCAAGAGCAGGTTGATGTTTTTCTTGTGCCAATCGGAGGTGAAGGGGATGTCCCTGGCGTCAGAAATGTTGTATCCAAGAAAATTGAGAATAACGCTTTTATGACGACATCCTTTGATGCCTTGAGACCACACCTCAGAGCTCTCACTAAAGCTATTTGCGATGGAGCTGAAAAATTGAAACGTAAGTATGAACTATATGTACTTGAATAGGAACATTAGACACTCAAGTACAATTTAGAAACTACAAGAAACAAGAATTTTTCGGTGGAATTATTTGACGTGTAATTTGACGATTAGTGAGTAAAATAAAATGACTTCACAACATCCCGAGGAGTATTTCGATTTTCATTTGTATGTTTAATTAATGCCAGTAGTTACAGRCAAATATTAAAGTGGTAGTGACAGTGCTAGTAGTGTTTGTTCGTCCTATGAACACAAGATTAACATTCGCTTTTTCTATTGAATTTCAAAGCTTGTAAACTTCCACTTGATGTGGTATTTGGAATACCAACATCTGGATCGTTAGGTGGTCAGTTTGGTGAAATCAAAGACATCTTCAACGGTCTCCTTAAATTCTTCGCCGTGAACAACCGACTTGCACACTTTGGCGTCATCCAGTACAGTAATGATGCAGCAATGACTCTAAAAATTGACTCCACATACAACAGAGATACACTCGCTAAATATATTGGCAATCTTCGACCTGCTGGCAACAGATTTAACGTCGAAGCCGCATTTAAACGCGCAGCCGATCACGCCTTTACGATTTTTGGCGGCGTTCGACAAACCGTTCCTAAGACGTTTGTAATCTTTGTTCCACGGGAAGCTTCCACTCCAATCCAAAATGTGCTCGCCGCAGCCCAGAATCTGAAGCGTATGGGTGTGAAAGTCATAGTTCTCGGTCTGAGCGATGTCCCTCAACTAGAGCAGTACAGACAGCTAGCAGTTTCACAGCCATCTTCAAAGTTCTTCTTTGGAGATACAATGGACGACATTTCTGGTAGCATTTACAACATCAGGGAAACTATCTGCAAAGGTAAATAATTTAGAAAGCCGTGTGATTTCACAAGGAACGCTCTCTGTTAAGAAAGCTGTGTGATTTCACAAGGAACGCTCTCTGTTAAGCATTTGCAAAATGCCAAATCAGTTATTTCATGCTCAACTTTGCCGTCTTTCAAGCAATCAACGTTAAACTTGACCAACCTCCGAAGCAATCATTTCCCTATAGTATAATATATTCGGATTGCATTCCATGCAAGTAATTAGTGTTTAGTGATAATTAGTGTATTCTTGCTTATTAACAAATGCACTGATTTCACACAAAATCGTTTTCTTTTATTTTGATCCATTTATATAAGCATTACACACAATATAACGAGTCGAAGTTACACATCAGTAAATAAAAAAAAGGAAAAAAATAGTATTTTACATTTATGATATTTCGATCCCAAATACAATCTTGGACTCAYCTTTTGACTTGTAACAATCATATGTAAAAATTCCAGTTCTCTGTACACACTGAAGAACTGCACTACTTCTAATTTGAATTTAAAGCAGATCCGTACTATCCATTTTCATTCCAAAATGGCGATCAAAACGTGGCTGCGCTAGATTGTACTATGCCGACAATATAAAAACATATAGACATATAGAGAGTGCATCACAAAAGGGGTCTTGTCTCTAGAGGGAAAATCCAGTCTTCCATAAGACGCAATTCACTCTTTAACCCACTTTTGTGCTGTCCCTTCTCATATATATGATTTCATGCTTAAATGTATTTACCTTTAAGGTCGATATGGACGATGCCCGCCAGAACCAAACGAGAAATGCACGAATGTCGCCGAATCCTGCGAACTGGATATGGACTGTGGACAGCCAAGTCAAATGTGCTGTGCTGAACCTGGATGTCAGCGGTCATGTACAACAAAGTTAGACAGTAAGCGAACCTTTTTCACTGGATGGACAATTTTTTTARGACTCAAAAACCTTTTTACGCATTGTCGCAACATTTCTCTGGAAGATTGCCGTTCGGTTCTTGAATAAGTTAAAACGTGTTTTAATAGCCAGTTTTCAACGATTTTGCATCAATCGCTTGTATAACTTCTAAGAATAAGACTAAGAATATTCCCAATGAACTAATGCGGAAATGTTTTAAAATTGTATTTTATTAATCTTTTCAGACTGTTTTGTTAACATGGAAATAGCAATAGCCATTGATAATTCACAAGATGGCGCAGGTGGAGAGTTAAATCAAGTTAAACAATTCGTTAACAACCTCATTAGACCGCTGACAACATCTGAAAACAGCATGCGTTTATCTTTGATGACGTTTGGAGCACAGTCAGAAACTCTTGCGCGATTCCGTGAACTTAATCCAGAAAGTGTTATTCAGCAAAAAGTCGCTGCCATCACGCAATCAGGWGGACCAGGTCGTGATTTGAATAATGCATTTACAGCAATGAGAATGGATCACTTTAGTTTAGAGGGAGGTATGCGGCAAGGGCATCCTAGACTTGCTATCTTTGTCGTTGGTGCCGATGCTCCAAAYAACTTTGTCGATGCTGCCAATGAACTAAAAAGTATGGACAGGATGAGAGTGATGGCAATAGGTACCAAGCAGTCCGTCTCAGATGCTCTTCTTTCCGCCATTGCTTCGGAACCTAGTTTGGTGTTTAAAGCTAATTCACCAGCTGATTTGAATAGTTTGCAAAGCCAAGTAAAAAAAGCATATTGTCAACGTAAGTAAACTTTAATCATTATACCACAATTTTCTAATGAGTTAACTCCATCCAGATACAAATACTAATACTAATAGACTCTCACTTATATTACAAGCTTCGACAATATGCTGTATGTGAATAGTTCTTTTAGAATTTCCTGCATTTGTAAGAATATGAACAGGACTGTGAATCACATCTGTTTTGCTCAGACTCAACAGCAGATGTTAAGAAAAGGAAAAACGAAGTATTTTAATCAAGCACACATTAAGAAACAATAAAAAAATAATGAAAGATACATTTTCAATGTCCTTAAAACTATGCTTTAATAATTGTCCAATTTCAGCAAAACCTGGAAAATGTCCTCCAGCACCAGACGCTCCTGGTACAGGATGCCCTGCCACAGTTCCTGCACGATTCATCCCTTGCAAGAATTCAGACTGGCCTTGTCCTGGCGAGCAGAAATGTTGTCGACATCCGTCAGGATGCTTTGACGTTTGTGCTGTAGCACCAAGAGGTTGGCTATGTCCTTCATGTGACCGTTTACCACATATAAAAGTTAATCTATGTATATTTTTTCAGCATGTGCTGGAGTTCATGATCTTGCTCTGCTCTTGGAAACAAATGATGAGGTCGGACCAACAGGTTTTAACAAAGTAAAAAACTTTGCCAAACAGCTAATTGACGGGTTCTCGATCGCGGACAGTGGAACTAGAGTTGCTGTCATATCATACGGCGACAAGGCCAATGTTGACCTCAGGTTTAATACCATAATCAATTCGAACAAAGAAAGGATAAAGGCCAGGATAGATCGAATACCGTTTCGAGGAGGAGGACCTTCATTGACGTCACAGGCTCTACAGGAAGCATTTACGCAGGTTTACAAATTCGACGCTGGATCACGGGGTCCTTCCGTTAACAAGGTAAGTTCCAGGAATATGCGACCCCTTATATAGTATGTCATCCCTTTCTTATTAATTCCTAAATTGCTGACATTCTATTTCTCAGATAACATATTTGCATTAAGCTATAGAAATTTCTCRGATCGTGAACTTATAAGGCACTAAATAAACCATTGGAGGACACGCGATTCGTTCTCGAGATCTACATAATACGCAGTGTCCAAAAAGGGATTCTGTCCGAAATTTGTTTATGGTTTTTAATGGTATGAAAGGCTTGAGGATTGATCATGATTAATATAACCATTTTTAATTTGAATTGCAAGGAATCGAATAAGATCAACGTTTTAAGCAAATCCGTATAGAAAAATAACCTTTAAACATTGTTTTATTATGTTTTATTTGCTTAGTCCTTACTGATCATCAGTCAAGGCAAGTATCAAGATCCCAAGAGAGCTTCACGTTTTGCAAGTCAGCTTCAACAACAAGGAGTAGACGTGTACCAAATGGCAATCGGTGGAAATGAAGATATTCCAGCGATCCGTGGTGTTGCTTCTAAGAAACAACATAAAACAGTATTCATGACATCTAGTTATGATTCCTTAAGACCACACTTAAGGGCTGTAACCAACAGAATCTGCGAAGGAGCTGAGAAACCATACAGTAGGTCTTGTGTTGTGTTAACCAAATTAATAGTTTCATTTTCTCTCATATGGAGTAGCCAGAATGAATGAATGTTTTGATGATAAGATCTGTAAGATGGTTAAAAATATTTTTGATAATAAAAACAAAGCATCTAATATTATACTATGACCCGAAGTAGAGATTGCATTTCGTTACAAATTAAAGCATAGAGAGAATGACTGCTTTTCTTTGGTTGCAACTGAAATTAATTGTCTCTAGTTGCAAAAATTGCACAACCTTCCGAACGCGTGTGATCCTTTCGATTTATTCTCTTCTTTCAATTTTTAGTTTGCAAGAAACCACTAGACTTGATATTTGGGATTCCTGTGGCGAAAGAATTAGGAGGAAATCTTGGTGCAATTAAAACATTCCTGACAAGTTTTACTAAAAGATTTATAATAGGGAACAGAGGAACACACATTGGCATGATACTCTACAGTGGAAAAGCCACTCTTGACAAGCGTATTGACGAAATGTACAACCCAAGAGAGATTGATGATTACATCAATCGTCTGACTCACCGAGGAAATGGTTTTAACCTCACCAAGGCACTGGCAACAGCAGCAGATTATGGTTTCAATATCTATGGTGGGACTCGCCCTAATGCACCCAAAGCTTACATTATCATCGTACCAGGTGCTATTCCTCCTTCAGACGAGGCTGCAATCCGAGCAACCGCCAGAAAACTAAAAAGTCTTGGTGTGCGACTTGTGGTATTCGGTCTCAGTGGAGGACCAGACAAAAGATTTTTACGAAGAGTTTCATCGCAACCTTCTAGAAAGTACCTCACATATGGCAATTTCGATGATTTTATTGCATCTACAGAAAAAAAGGCCCGAACWATTTGCCGAGGTAAGCATGAAWTATTCTTCCCTGTCACGATKTTTTCTTTTGCTGATATTGTTGTTCCTAAAGTACTTGTTATTGTGGCTGCAATTGCTTTATTACTTCTTCCTAATGTTGTTATTTTTTCTGTTGGTTGCATTTTCGTTGTCGCTGAAATCGATCGTTGCTACTTTTCATTTTTTGTCGTTTTTATTCTTGATATTATTCTTATTACCATTGTTGCAATTGCTTCTGCCAATGCAGTCCAGTGGTCATTAACGTTGTTTAGTTTCCAATTCACTAGGTTTTCTTTGTTATTCATAGGKTAGTATATATGATAGAAAYTTTAAAGCCGGGGAGGGATTTGATATTCAGCAGGGAACAGAGAAAACAATAACCAAGATCTTCGTTACTTTTAAAATAATCTATTCTTCGGAATTAACCAACGTGTATTTCAGAAGTAATCGGTGTRACTCGTATTTCTCCGCTCCTCGGTCCATTCTATCCAACGTACACACGGCCATTTGGTACTTTAGTTTGTTACTTCTTGAATCCTTCCCTCGTATTTTTTCGAGCGAGTTCAACATCAAAAACTATTGTAATTTTTCTCATTTTTCCYATCTGCAGACTTTGTCATCGTTATTTGCGGGCAGAGGCATGCGGAGTTCCAAATCCGATAGCAAATCGTCAATATAAAAGTTCGGCAAAGGAATGATGTCAAACATATTTTGAGCTATTAACAAATCTTCACTGTTCGACATCGTTTCCAGAATGACTGTTAAGAATGTTTGATAACAATACTTCAAATTCCGATTGCTCGCTTTCGCATGAACAGGTTTTCTTAAAGGAAACTAATTTCAACAGTCCATGAAAAAGTCTCAAGAGAAGAGGATTCYATTGTTCGAATCCCAACTAAGAAAACATTCATTTAGTCTACTCAGTTTTTGCGAAAACCACGTGAATTRAAAACTAAGTTTGTTAGTTACCTCGTCGGCATTACGCTATATACAGCCCTCGGGCCGTTCTCGGTAACTAACTCTTACTCAGTATAGGCAGCAATTCCCAGTCACATATGTCATATTTATCATTTTTATAAGTCTTATAAGAATATTCAACATCAAGTTGAAAAACTAAACATTCAATTTGCCGTTTCACTGGTGTTTTAGATTGAATCCGTCYTAGGAACAATTTTATGTACTTTATGCAAATGACTTTGCTGTTGTGTCTTTGTCTTTGTACGCAATCCCATTTCTATGAAAGCTACTAATATGATTATCAACTTAAGTAATGCTATCGGCGTAAGTGCTAAAAGCTCTTTTCTCGTGATGGATTATTAGTGCCATTGTTACTGTTTATGATAAAGTTACTAAAGCATTTTTCTAAACTTGATTTTTTTTCATATTTTAGGAAGATACGGAACTTGCAACGAAAATCCCCCTCCYCCCCCAGACTGTCCTGATCCTCCACTCATCAAATGTGAAGACGATAGTGACTGTGCTGATCCAGATCAGGCATGTTGTGAGACGGCTTGTGCTGGCAGTACACAGTGTGCTGTAAAAGTAAAAAGTAAGCCTTGTTAATAAGTTATGTCTGTTCTGAGTGTCCATGATTGAATTAGAACCTGTCTATTGATCGTTTTCACCCATTCCCATGAGATTCAAAAGATAAAAGACCGGCGGACATGTTGGAGTATGAACAATAGATACTAATGAGAAATCCTTTGTTAAACWTCCTCCAAGATGGCCGCTRTGCATGACGTAGCCTGAAAAAGAAGAATTGGTTTCTTTTTGAATTCTATTTTTCATTGTGATTCATTATTTGATTATCTCGTTATTTCTTTGCTGGGTTCCTAGTGTGTTGGTTGGGTGATGAGCCTGTCAGAYATCATCAATGTCAATGTTTTCAATTGATAAAATAACTAAATTCAATTCTCTTCAGACTGCTTTGTTAATATGGAGATCGCATTAGCTGTCGATACATCAGATGGTGCAACTCTACCCGCCATTAAGGAGTTTGCTAAAAAGTTCGTAACTGCGATAGCTGACACTGAAAACGCGATTCACTTTAGTGTAATGGGTTATGCCGATACTCCAACTACTATGTCAACGTTAGGTGAATTCTTATCAAAGCAACAGACAAATAAGGCGATTGATGCTTTAAGTGTCGGTGCTGGCGAACCAAGAGTTGATCTGGCTATGGGTGAGCTAAGGAAAGCTCATTTCAGTCTAGAGGGCGGAGTGCGCCAAGGACATCCCCGCTTCGCTTTATTCATTACCTCTAAAGGAAATTCGCCGTCTTCTGGCGATCTTGCAGCTCCAACACAGGCACTTAGTGATATTGATGTTAACATAGCAGCTGTTGGTGCAAACGGAGAGGTAGCCTCCTTTGTCGACAGTCTTGCYTCAAACAGTAAATGGGCTTACAAGGTAAATTCACCAGCAGAGCTTCAAGGACTTATACCAGGAATGAAACGATCATTGTGTCCCGGTATGTATGTGTTTGTAATGTTCTTTTTGTCTATCTGGTATATTCTCATTCTTACGGTGTTTAACAGAAAAGCCYGGAAAATGTCCACCTGTAGCAGCTACTTGTCCCTCCCCTGGTGGGGATGTTCCACAAAAATTCATACCATGCGGCGAATCGGCCGGTAAATCAGGCAGAAGTGATAAAGAAAATGACTGGGATTGTCCAGGTGAACAAAGGTATGTCTTGATTATATGAAAATGATTTCCTGTCACAATCATCACGCTGATTACGGCGTTTATACATCGAAACATGCATACGATTAAAAAAGCTAAAGTTTGATAACATTGTACTTTTTGCGATAATATGTTCAGTGTTTCGAAATGATCAACCTTCTCTTCGCAATAAAATAAGAAACTTTATGTTTTCAGTAAAATATACAAACTGGATTGATTTTAAATTTGTGACTTTAAGATGCTGTAAAGACCCAACGGGATGCCATCAGATTTGCCGTGGTCCACCAAACGGTAAATTTTGCTTATTTTGTAATTTAATGTTTATATTATTTTTTCTGCGTATTTTATACCTTTGTCTATTATGTCTATGTATTCATATTTTAGAATAGTAAAGCAATTACATTACCAAAAAAGTGTGTAAAGAATATGACGGTACATGAACACAAAAACGAAATTTTAACGCGGACGCGTTCCGGAACACCCCATTCCTGGCCTTAGCAGTAGAAGTCATAAAAATAAAAATACGAGCCTTTATTTGTTAAATCAAAATGGTATTATATTTTCGGATAATCCAACACGTTTGCTCGGTGTTAGTGCAAAACAAGCAATTTTACAGTCAATTGGCTCACTCTCAGTTTCTTAAAACGCCCCTGTTTTGTTAAATTTACGGAAATACTGTCTCTCCTTACTAGAGTGTYCCGGCACGCACGACTTGGCTTTCTTAGTCGACTCTTCCAACGACGTCGGAGAAGAGAACTTTGAATTGTCCAAGAAATTTGTCAATGACATCGTTGATGCCTTTAAAATTGGAAGTCGAGATACCAGAATAGCTCTTATAACCTATGGCGCTAAAGCTAAAGTGGAAATGACATTCAACAAGTATTTGACACCTAACAAAGAAAGGGTCAAGAGTGGCATAAGTAGGGCCCGCTACATTGGAAATGGTCCCGCGTCAACAGCCGCAGCCCTTCAGCAAGCTGTGGACGTTGTTTTTAATGAAGGTAACGGCGCTAGAGAAGGTGTCAACAAGGTAAGTCCAACGTCTTCATTACTATAAAAATACTAAATAAAAGAGCGATAATGTTGAAGATGATAATACTTTCTTTGAGTCTATTCCGTGTAGAGGCAGCTGTGTGTACAATGAAATGGCAGCTATGCAGGACGTTTTTGTTCTTTATTTCTCAGAGGATTCCTGGTCATGTGTTTTCATACCAAGAATTGATAAGGACGCTACTTCAACCTAATAATTGTATCTTTTATTCAGTCTCTAGTTATCATAAGCCCTGGAAAGTTTACAAATCCCGCTGGAGCAATCCGATTGGCTGGTTTACTCAAGCTCAATCAAGTTGACGTCTTTGCAGTTCCCATTGGCAAAAACCCTGACATTGCTACGATTCGAAAAGTGATCTCAAAACATGAAAGTAAAAACGCTTTCATGACAACAACTTATCTTGCTCTTCGCCCGCACGTTCGTGGACTCACCAAGACAATCTGTGAAGGAGCCGAGAAAATCAAAAGTAAATATAGTTATATAATCTTTTCTCCCACTATGACATTGGCGAGAGACATTATAGGATCACAATTAATAGAGGGGAATGGTTTGGAAACCTTTTGTTGTACTTCTTTTGTACATCTTTTGTATGTCAAGACTGTGCACAACGTTTTTCTTACGGACGATGGAAATTGCAAGATGAGCGGACATAAACACTTCTACGAGATTATGAAATGAAATATTTCAATATTGGTTAATTTTTTGTGCATTTTGAAGAAAAAGCCAAAAGAAAAATTTTTGACCAGTATGGCTAAATCAATAGTTAAACAAAAGATTGTGCACGGTCAACCTCGAAAAAAAGTGCACAAAAACCTACAATTARAATTACGATATCCATTCTCGAGAATTCTTTAGCTAAATTTTATCACGAAATATCATGAAACAATTATGATGATCTCTAAAAATAAATGAGTCCTCTGCGTTAACTAGTGATATTTTTAATACCGAGCTTTCGGCTTATGAATGAATAACTACCCGAAGCAATTTATAAATAAATACAAGCATGTTGGAGGTGATCATGAAACGAGAGACCAAGGCACTCTACCAGAGGTGAAAAGATTTGCAGTTTTACCATATGTCCAAAATGTAACAGAGAGAATCAGAGTCCTATCACAACATAACATCAGAGTAGCAAGTAAACCAGTTAATACCATTAGACGCATGATATCAAGACCAAAGGATAAGCTTGAAGACTCAAAGAAAACCGGAGTCGTTTATAAAATCCCTTGTTCTGAATGTCCTACAGTTTATATTGGTGAAACAGGGAGGTCGCTACAAACACGACGAACAGAACACCAGAGAAGCGTGAGACTGGCTTACACCGATAAGTCTGCCTTATCCGAGCATGCCAACACCCTACATCATGATATTGACTGGGATGGGACTGAAGTTCTAAGAACAGAACCTAGATGGCATCAAAGGAGGTGGCTGGAAGCCCTACTGATAGCCAATACCAACTCAGTGTTATCAAACAGAGACACTGGCAGAACAATACCAGAAACATACAAACCATTATTTAAGTTCATTTAAGTTTTTTTGTTACATATATATCTAATTGCTTCATTGTCATAGTCTCTCATTTCTTTTCTTTTCTTTTCACTCCATTTCATTTCATTCCATTTCACTTTACATTTTATCTATTGTAATTAGCTCGCGCTGTATTGCTATGTTTCCTCGCGCGCTTTCCGTTTTTTGCGTTGTTTAAAATCTTACGTGTACTCTATCTTGATAATGGCCGCTTAGGCCGAAAGCTCGGTATTAAAAATATCACTAGTTAACGCAGAGGACTCATTTATTTTTAGAAATTATGCCTGCGCACAAAGAAATTTTAAACAATTATGATGATATTAGCGGAATATATCAAAGAATCTACTGACAAATAATGACAGATTTATTCCAGAACTGAATCCGTGTACTTTCCGAGAGTGATTGAGGAATTCGATGCAAATTGTTAAGATTGTGTAGATTGACCATTTTTCATTCCATCCCTGCACATTCTGTTGCATCTTTATAGTATTTTGTATTGTACCCTGTACTCAAGAAAAGAAAAAAAAACATTTTGAATACTGTGTTTTTAGATAAAACTAATAGCTTGAATCGATATAATAGCGAAAGCTGCCAAAATGGGAATTWCGATTTTTTAAACTTTAATTTCATGATATTTAGTCTGTGATAGGAAGATGGATGTCGTATTTGGAATCCCAACGGCCAAAGAACTTGGTGGCGACTTTCAGAARGTGAAAGACTTCTACAAGAATATGCTTCAGCTATTTAAGGTAATATTGACGTCGATGACTTTATAAACATAGTAAGGCGACATTTTACATGCTGACTGTGTGCATTTTTGACTGAAAAATAACAAATGAATCTCAGTTATTGTGCTGTGTATCTCTGTTTGTTTAAAGACCCAGTTTCCACCATTATGCTTTGCCCGCCTCTGTTATTATGATTTTCACCAAAATACTTCTAGTGTCCAAATATCACCATAAAGCGAATGTCATATGGTTGAAAACTCTTATATTAGCGTTTAAAGTGCTTAGAAAAGTGAGATGGTCAAAGATTCGAAACGCACAGTACAATTTATAGACTTTCGGTGAACTGAAAATGGCCAACTCCAGGTCCTCTCGCCTCCCAAAGCATAATAAATGGTGCACACTGGCTGGACCTTTAACATCTAATTATTTCTGCTGTGTCTTGTTACCTGCATAATAAATAATGTAAGATGTAAATTTGAGTCCWTGTGTGCTTTAAAAAGCCCCATGATCCACCGGCATTCAATACCGGCGTGTTTTAGATTTCGTTTTCATATATGGAAAGTGATGTAACTTCAAAAAACCGTCCGCTATAGATGYTTACTTCGTAAGGAGGAAGCGAAAAGAGACCTAAAGGCCCTGTAGGAGTTAATATGGATAAAAATCGTATTTCTACAATCGTCTTTTTTTTTATTGATCCAGTTGACACTGACATTTTCTCAGTTCCTCATTTTGCTTGATAATGGTRTCAAGACGACCCGCTTATCCCGCTTATCTCTATTGTATTTGTTACATTACTGTGCACAAAATATACTTTAATTGTTATTTTCAAACATAAATAAAAGTTCGAAAGGCATTGAATAAGATTTGTTAATTCACTAATTTATGATTAATTGATTTATTKATTTACTCATTTACTATATTATAGGTGAACAATAGAAAAGTTCACGTCGGTCTTATTCCATACAGTTCATCTGCGAGATTATCACTGAACCTTGACCAAATCTACAATCGTGATACCCTAATGGAACGWGTRCAGAATCTAAAACCATKGGGTAATGGTTATAACGTGCGAGATGCTTTAAGAGTAGCCGCTGACCATGCCTTTACCATGTTTGGAGGTACACGACCTTCAGCTCCAAAAACTTTTGTACTTTTCGTRCCTGGTACAGTGAGCGGAAATGGTGATGAAATCCAAGCAGCCGCAGCTAAGCTAAAAAGCATCGGAGTCCGGTTGATGGTAATGGCAGTGAAAGATAAAAATAGTTATGATYTATTCAGCACTGCGACATCACAGCCTGCTAAAAAGCACTACATCTATGGTGATTACGACCTTATTGGTGCTTCAGTTTATGATGCCGTGGAGACTATATGTAAAGGTAAACACATAAATGTGGGCCGTTTGTTTGTGATCCATTATAGAGCCTTGGGAAATATAATGAAATATTTATTCGAAAAAGATTCGGTGCACCTATAAACATTCAAAAATATCTGTAAGCCCTTCTCTCTTCAAATCAAGAACCATGAGACTTATTGGACCAGTGTACGTAGTTCAGCTAATGGCAGACTTAACGTCCAAAGAACTGATTTCTATTCRAATGCGGGACGATAATGTGATGTCCCTGAGCAAGGCATATTAACTTTCCAATGCCTCATCTTCTAAGACAGGACATAGTGACCATATCGCCCATCTCTCTAAATTACATGACAATACTCCGATTTTTAGTTCTGGTTTGCTCTGTGTTAGCCTCAAAACCAAGTAGCATATTCTTTTGTTTCATTGATACCCCAAGAAAACGCATGGAATTTGAAAAGAAGGACGATAGAATTGATTTGAGATCTTACACTTTTATTCTCACAATTAGGAATATTGCRCACAAATGAGGCATTGGAGAAACTGGATTATTGAGATATCCATGATCGCTTTAGTTAAATAAACAATTCATCTTTTTTATCGTTGTTTAGCTAAATATGGAAAATGTCCAGCCTACCAAAAACAATTCCCAGAATGCCCTGATGATGAAGTAGATGAGTGTGCCTTGGATGGAGACTGTGGAGGACCTGAAGAGGTCTGTTGTGAGGGAAGTTGTGGGAAGAAATTATGTGCTCCAAGAGTCAGAAGTAAGTTTCACGATGTTTAATATTCCATAATGTACATGACTTTCAAAAACGTTATTCGATATTTTTAGCTAACCGTCTAGAAAACCCAGTTATAGGAACATCAATAATATAAAACGCGCTTATAAAGACAAGCATTACTGCTAACTAATAAGATAGTAGTATTRCAAGCGAATAGTGTCCTTCAAGGTTCCCTGCGCCATCTTGAAATGTAGCCGAGCCTTTGCATCAAAGCGAGATGACCGTTGGGCGTGCAATGATAGAAACCTGTGAATAATTTGTCTGTAGGTGTGAAAGGAGGTTTCTATCATTGTACGCTCAACGGTTGTCTCGCTTCGATGCAAAGTCATGGCTACYTTTCAAGATGGCCCAGGGAACCGTGAAGAAGACTATTGTGTGAATAGTTGTGTGAATATCTATTATTTTACCCAGTTAAATGCCTAAACGAACAAAATTAGAAAGGGCTGAGGAATAGAMCTAATTTTGGCTTGTTTCAGCAGCTTCCATATGTTAATTAARCTGTTCATCTTTTTTTCAGATTGCTTTGTTGCAATGGATATAGGAATTGCAGTGGACGCATCTTCTACAATACCCGATGCAGAATTYAATGCGGCCAAGAAGTTTGTAACGCAAATTATCCACGCCAGTGCCGATTCCGAAAACAACATTCACTACGGCTTATTGAAATATGGACTAACGCCCCAATTGCTGGCCAATTTCCGTCAGTTTGAATCTGACGCCAARTTTAAAAAGATGATAACAGATATGAAAAAGACAGGAGATGCCGACCGACGACTTGACTATGCCCTTCAAGGAATTAAAAGTGATATATTCAGTCTAAATGGGGGGATGAGACAAGGTCGACCGAGGTATGCAATAGTAGTCGTCTCTGGACCTAATTCGGCTGAATCTGGAGATCTAAAAGAGGCTTCCAAGCTACTTCGAGCTCTCGGGGTTAAAATCATTGCTGTAGGATCGAAYGGCAATGTTGACAATGCTCTCCTGGAGCAAGTYGCATCTGATTCYGSATTAGTGTTTAAAGCAACCGGCCCTGACGACTAYAACGCCATTTGGAATAACATACAGAATATCATGTGCTCTAGTAAGTCAATGTTTTATATGACTTTTGTTTACAATGTTGTCATTTTGAGTGATATTACTGTAATGAGACTCGTCTTTTTATCTTGACCATTCCCATTATCTTGACCATTCCCATTATCTTGACCATTGGAGTTTTAGTAAAGTGAAAGCAAAAAMGACGTGAGTCATGCAAGCAACTGTTTCTGCCGTAATCCCATTAATGTTCTCAATGTTGTTAATGTAGAAAAGCCTGGAACGTGTCCTCCTGTTGCYGCAACATGCTCAGCTCCTGGTAGTGATGTCCCAGCTCAGTTTATCCCCTGTGGTGAATCAGAAGGAAAATCTGGAAAAACAGACAAAGAGAATGACTGGGATTGTCCTGGAACAACCCGCTGCTGCAAGGACCCTTCGGGATGCCATTCAATATGTCGAGAGCCTCCAAATGGTACTGTTCATTTAGCTTTAAAATGCATTTAAGCTTTAAAATATGTTTTCCGTGTTTCTGTTTTAAACCGCATGATTGAATCACGAGCTGAAAGCATAATTCAACCAAGCAATGCAAACGTGACCACCATCCTTCATTAGGTCTTACAATTGTCATGTTATTAATTTAATGATGATTATTATTTTGTASCATTGATTATAATTATGATTATAATGTCTTTTTTCAGTTTGCAAAGGCCAACATGACCTCACAATTCTAATGGATAATTCTGCAAACTCTGGTCGTGAAGGATTCCAAAAGATCAAAACGTTTGCTCAGGGCCTCGTTGATGCGTTCGATGTCGGTAATAGTGATACCAAAGTGGCTGTCATCTCATATGACGATAACGCAAAAATCAATTTTAGATTTAATTCACCTKCGACCACCTCGAAGGGCGCCGCTAAAAGCGCCATTCAAARTGTTCCATATCTGGGAGGCTCCAAAGCCGACGTATCCAAAGCTTTGAAACTTGCCCTWCAAAAGGTTTACAAATTAGAGAGTGGAATGAGACCCAATTCCAATAAGGTACGGAAACAAAAAATTMTAAATCTTGATACACAGAGTGTATTAATTTTGTTATAGAGAAATCGAGCAATAATACTTCAGAGGGAACACTGGCCAGACAAATTTATTTGTCTTTTTGAGGTATTCCTTTGTACGACATACACTCGTTCTATATCTCTATGATAACATTTCTGAAGCTCTGGTGTAAATAGAAATATTGATTGTGGACACTAACATCTGGCTTAAATACATAGTCATTCTAATCAGACGTTTCTGTCTTCTATCATAGATCTTCATCAGTGATAAAATGTTTACATAAACATCTTAGCAGTGATGAAGGAGAGAACCGAATAGTATGATCAAAATTACAATCCATCTAAGCCAGAGACATAGAACTTAATCTCCATAACTGGCCTTCATATATTTACTGATACGGAATATCGATTACTTGATGTCTTATTGAATCATCAAAATCTACCCCAATGCGACATGATCATTTTTCTTGAAAAAAACCTGATATCTCTTCGGTATTGCACTTTGAAACGCAGTTGCGCAAAAGCGCGGCTGATGGTTATGCTTTTATTCGTAATCTTGCATTGCAAGCTYTTGACTTGAAAGTTGATCTCTGTCCCATGTTACAAGGTATTAAAAAAGGCTCTTGGCTCTTGTAACACCAACTTTATAGTTGTGAAAGTTCTAWTATTGTTTTCTTAATCTACCCTTAATTGGTTTTGTCTGATGGATTTGTATTTGGAGGAAATACTAATTGTATTTTTGTTTCTCAGTCCTTGGTCATTATAGGATCAGGAAAGTTTGCCAACCCAACGAGAGCTGCACGCTTTGCAGGGGAACTAAAATTGAATCTTGTTGATATTTTTGCGATGCCAATTGGATATGACCCAGACATCCCGGCTGTTGAAAAGGTTGCTTCGCCTTTAGTTGATAACAATATCTTTATGACGACATCACCGGAAGCTCTTAAGCCTCACCTACGTGCATTGACGAAGCGAATATGTGAGGGAGCCGAAAAGCCAAAAGGTAATGTCATGATATTTGCAAAATAAAACGCCGTTACTTACAGGCAGGTAATCTGATAAAAGGGCAACAAGATGTTTGATATGCTAAGAAATCACACTGATTATGCGAAATCGGTCGGAATATATTATAACATCTGTTATTTACTGATCAACATGCRCTCAAATCAAACTGATATGAGTAATTTTTTTTGTATTTATAATCAATACAATGATGTTTAGTAATGATATGAATACAACTTCTTTCAGTTTGCGATAAACCTATGGATATAGTATACGGAATTCCCACAGCGGTATCTTTAGGCGACGGYCTTAAAGAAGTCAAAAGTTTTTTCAAGAGTATGACAAGCCAGTTTACGGTCTCCAACAGAAAAACCCACATTGGCCTTATCCCMTACAGTGACTCAGCAAGACTTGCACTTAACATCGATGCCCAGTACAGTCCTAATGCAATACTTAGCGCCATAGAGAATATCAAAAAAGAAGGAAGTGGTTTGAACGTCGCGAGAGCTATCCAAGTAGCCGCTGACCATGCATTTACAGTTTACGGTGGTACCCGTCCCACTGCACCCAAAACCTTTGTACTCTATGTCCCAGGCCCTGCTGTTGGCAACGCTAATGCGATAAGTGCTGCAGCTAAAAAATTAAAAAGCGTCGGTGTTAAATTAATGGTTGTTGGTCTAGAAGGAGTTGATAAGGACTTGTATAAACTGGCATCGTCACAACCACACCAGAAATATTTCTTAAATGGCAATTACGATGTTGTTCACTCAGAGATATCAGGAGCTGTGGACACCATTTGCAAAGGTTAGTTTTTGCAGGTTGATAGACGGACCCATTCTTTGCGTAATTAATAAAGAGACTAAATAACATAAAGAGAATTCCTGTAAATTTGCGTTTTTAAGTCCGTTTAAAATTTAATACATTTATGCGCAATCTATACATTAATAATACATTTTATGTATTTTACTACACTATGCGAAAAGAACACATATAAATTTTTAATTTTGCATATATTCCACACGGTACATGTCTGGTTTTCCCGACCTTTTACCCAAGCTACTGTACAATAGCTTGACATTGAAATTAAAAGCGTACTAGAAAAAAAAAACAATGGAACTTATCATGAGCCAAGGAGCGTTCAGGCCATAAATGAATGTACTTTTGGAGCGACGCCTGCATTCTTCTGAAGGAAAGCTAGGTAAACTTTGATAGATTGATAAATTATACTTATGCATATTATCTTTGCATTAATAGGAAAGTATGGTAAATGTCCAGCTTACAAGCCGCCAAAGGAAAAAGACTGCGGGGACTCGCCCGTTCACGAGTGCGATGTAGATGGTGATTGTGCCGATCCAGACCAAGCCTGCTGTGAAGGAAACTGTGGAAGGACATGCACTGGCCGCGTTAAAAGTGAGTGTAAAATTTCTCGATCTCGATTTCTTTGTTTCTTCGATTAAAATTTCGGCAGGTTTCTTTCTTTTTTTTATTAAATACCTTAATTGACCTTGCAYTTTCTACTACTTATTTTTAACATTTGTCTGACAACATGCATGAAATATTGTCTGGTAGTCCCTTCCCAATAATCAATGAAAATCGTGTAACCACTGTCAGTGGTACAACTTTAGGAATTGAAGAGGTTTTTATATAAAACGAAACTAGTTTTTTTTAAATCCTGGTGTTTTGTTGCGTAAAAGATGGTACTTTGAGTTTAAACTCTTACACAAAATGAAATTTAGAAAATCTTTTGTAATCCGACATAAATAAATATCAAATAAATAATCCATGAACTATGGGCATATTCTGATCAAATGATGTCGTCAATTTATGTGGAAATATAGATAGTTTATATCATATTATAGATGGAATCGAGCTCAATGTTCCTCCATAGTATAAATATCTATTTATAAAAATGAAGAAGACCGAAGTGCCGAAACGTTCTAATAAAGAGTGGAAATACTAGTTGCAAGTTGTATATTTATAAAAATACATTTATGCCTGTATTGCTTCATCTTTAGATTGCTTTGTTGCTATGGACATTGCCATCGCACTGGATGCAACTTCAACCATTCCTGATCAAGATTTCGAAAACCAAAAGAGAATTGCAACGCATATCGTCAACTCCATTGCCGACGCTGAAAACAGCATCCACTATGGCTTGCTCAAGTATGCTGGTACGTCTCAAGTCTTGGCCAACTTCAACAGAATGGCTTCCGATGCAGTAATTAAACAAGACATCAAAAATATGAGAAAGACTGGAGAGTCAGAACGTAGGATTGACACAGCACTTGCAACCATATCTAGCGGGATATTCAGTTTGGAAGGGGGTATGCGACAAGGACACCCAAGGAATGTTATATTTTTCACGTCGGGATCATCCGCAACTGGCTCGGACGATCTCGTAAAATCATCCAAAGGTCTTAGAGACCTCGGCGTTCGAATTACTGCTATTGGCGTTGGCAATGCCGACGAATCTTTTCTTAAACAACTGGCAGGCGATGGCGGCACAGCTATTAAAATATCTCAACCAGATGAAGTCGATACTGTTTGGTCTCGCGTTCAGGAAAGTTTATGTCCTCGTAAGTATACAGAGAAAACTTAAACTATTATACATTTAAATCGTCTGAGGTGTACAAAAATATTTGCATTAGCGACTAGTATGCGGTATCAGTTAARTATGTATTATATTTCTACACTTTTTAACGTCATAAAATATACTTTGGGAAACTCGAATGTAAACGSCAGCCATCTACATCTATAATTAAAGCTCATAACGTACCAAAGCAGGCTATTTTCACTACTATTAACCTTAGTATTTGACTTTCTTTGTAGCCAAACCAAACGTATGCCCTCCAGTTTCTCAATCTTGTAACTCTCCTGGAGGTGAGGTACCTTTAGAGTATATACCATGCGGTGACTCAGCAGGAAAAGGAGGGCGTAGTCAGAAAGAAAACGACTGGGATTGTCCTGGAGAGCAGAAATGCTGTCGCGATCCATCAGGATGCCACTCAATTTGCCGTCCATCACCAAACTGTAAGTTTGAACAATGTTAAGTATATAGTTTCGTTGTTATGGTGATTGAGTCAATACAGTGCACACATTTTACGGGCTAGCAAAGTACGTGAAGTCTACAGATCATAAATGGAATAATTATATTATCGTGACCATGAATACTACATGAGAATTCAGAAATCCTGATTGATCAATGTTCAGAGCCAACACTTTATTCGGACTAGTWTATTACAAAATTCAGCAGCATGTTTTTTGTTGTTATTGTAATTGTAGTGGTTATCCGATTTTTTAGTAGTTTTTTTAACCAGTCTTAAAATGGGAACTAGAGTTGAAATGTTCACTCATTCTTCTATTAAACATTCTTTTAATTGTTTMTGAACCTATTTGCAATGAAAGCATACACTATTTGCAATATACAATTGAATGCATCACATTCGATTTTATCCATTTATTAGACTGCGCAAACCKTKCTCATGACCTGGCTATTTTACTCGAACGATCTGACGCTACCACTGAACATGGATTTGAAAAAGCAAAAGCGTTTGCTCAAGATCTTGCAGATGCCTTTTATGTTGCCGACAGAGGAACGCACGTCTCGGTGGCAACGTTCGGACCAACTGCTGAAGTTCAGTTTAGGTTTAACTATTTACAGGTAACTGCAATTTGGTTTTGTTAGTAATACCGCGCTCCAGTTTCGAGATCTTATTTGTGCAGCCTTAAATCGAAAGCATGTAATATATTCTTTTATTCAGCAGAGATACTATAATAATGCAAACACTCTGTGTACAAAGCAGACAATAAACATTTATGCTTGACTGACGCTAAGCTTGCACAAAAGAGAGATTTCGAAACTGGAGCCGGTATTCATTGTATTAATTTTTGGAATGGTAGATCGATATAGGATTTGTTAAGAAAATTCATCCCGATGAAATGTCTGAATTATTTTTTAAATCCACTACAGTGAACTTGGTAATCATTTTAATTTAAAAATACTTGACTCGATATAAGTTTTGATAACTGAATCCTAGAACCCCAGTCAAACGACAATCTTTTGACCATCCACCGTAATTCTCATACTCATTAATTATTCATGAGGTATCCAGCCAATCCCTGATTGTAATTTGTACCACGTGAAGTAACTTGAAACCAGAGGAAGTACTCGTAACTTGTATTCTACCTTATTTCCAGTTACTTCTACCTTTTTCAGGTTACTTCTACATTATTCCAGCTATTTCTACCTTATTTCCAGTTACTTCTACCATGTTTCCAACTACTACTAGCTAATGATAATCAAATTATTAGAAATAATCAGTTTAACATTAATTTAGTGAAAAAAGGTCTTTGATACATGACTCCCTCACGACTCGATCACCTACCGTCCAGTCTATATGCGCCGTCTTATACCATTACACCACCGAGTTTCTGATGCGATTCCYCGGAAGATAACATACTTATAAATCTTATGGATTWGGCTCATTAGGAATGCCATGAATAGCAGACAAAGACAACTTGAATAGCTTTTGTTTCAGAAAGCCGTCACGGAATTGAAGAACAACAAACGGTGCTTCATGTATTCAAAATTATGAAAACTGAAAACCTTAGTGGAGATGCAATATATCAATATATTTCTGTTATATGTATTTCTTTCGCTTTTTTCCCCTCCCGAATAATTAATGAGTATGAGAAGTCGTTCACTAACGCCTCGGACTGGAGCTAATTGCTCGGACTTGAAATCCCGTCCAGTCCGAATTGGAGGACTTTAAACATTACTTCAACACTATCAGGAGCGTAAATGAGCAGCTAACTTGTGTTGTGCGTAATAGGGACCACAAATGAATAATGGMAATGTAAGAAAGTCCATAGGGAGAATACAATACGCAGGTGGTTCAACAGCGGCCGCAAGTGGTGCTCTAAATCTGGCTGTCAACGATATATTCACCGATAGAAGTGGAGCAAGAGAAGGAGTAAATAAGGTATCGAAATCTGTGAATTTATTCTAACATTTTTGAAGTGCGATATCAAACATTGTAAGCAACGAGTTGATCAATGCACTTGAAATACCTTACCCCGGCAAAGATATTGAAGAATAAAAAAACGAATATSAATTTTTTTATGTAATGTACTGACAAAATATGAGCGGGAGACCTTTTTTTGGGCATTAAAACTGCTATGCGAGCTGCAAGACAGACGCGAGTATTTTATATTGATTATCACATTCAAACATAAGCTTAACCATATTTTGCAAAAAATAACTGAACATCAAGATAAAATATCATTTTTAAGAGAAAATCGAAGTTAAAGTTTAATGCAGCTTACATAAAGATGCCGTCATGATTTTCCATTGTGTTTACCTTATGAATTATTAATGAATATTATAACAGCATATCAAACATATTTTGACAGCTTATCGTGTGTGCTCTTGTAGTCCTTAGTTATCGTTGGATCAGGACAGTTTCTGGACACTGCCAGGGCTATAGCGTTATCRGCTGCGCTCAAGCAAAACCTCGTTGATGTATTCTCAGTACCTATTGGACCGAACTATGACGTTGCTACACAAAGAAAGTTCGCCTCCCCCAACGCCAACAAGAATGTATTTATCACTTCGTCGTATGACGCATTGAGACCTCATGTGCGGGCGGTTACCAAAGCTATCTGCGATGGAGCTATCAAAATCAGAAGTATGTCATACAGATATGGTTTTGATAGATATTTAACAATTAGACCTTGAGGTCGAGTGGACTRCGAGCTAATAGCCCATGAGGCCGAGTCCGCGAGGCCGAATGGGCTATTACCTCGTAGTCCACGAGGCCGAGAGGTCTAATTGTTTTAGTATAAACATACTAATCGCTCAAATAATGAAAACAAATTGAAATATCCTTAAAATAATTTATAATTTATAATTTATTTGTTTTGATTTTCCCGCGAGTGGTCTATCACAAATTAGACCATTAGTAGAGTAGCCAATCACAGCGAAGTATGAGTGATAGACCATTAGTATGTTTATACTAAATAGATATAGACATACACTCAGACGCAGAATACCAACCTTGGTACACTTTTACATTACATGGTCAAAATAGTTGTTGGGTAAAATATATGACTGACAACACTAAAGGGAAGATGGGGTTTGTGGTCACGTGATGTTTGCTAAGTTGAACACTCGTTGCTCGCATGTTGACCTTTCTGTAGAGTAAGAAAAAAGCAGCTTCCATAAAAATCACTTGCAAGTCAGCCAGATCAAATCAAATCCACCCACCTAATAAACGGACCAACAACCTTGAAACATTTTGCGCTTTTTCAATGCTTATTAATGACCTAAACAAAAATCGCAGATCAGATTTAACTTACTTATTTATGATTTTCAAGAAGCTACAAGGATATTCTAAAAGTGAAGTTGATCGAAAGATAAATATTTTAAAACATCAAACACTAGCCAAGTAGATTTTTTACTTTGAAATGTATCAAATCCTTATATATTATACACGTAATATTTTTTTCCTTGTAGAATGCGACCGACCTGTAGATGTATACTTTGGAATTCCAAATGCCAATTTCCTCGCTCCTCAATTTGGAAACATTCGCAGATCGTTTGTGAACTTACTGCGTCAACTGGTGGTTAGCAATCGATTGCTTCATGTCGGAATTATGCAGTATTCAGACTCTGCCAGTGTACTGATAAACTTGGATCGTACTTACAATCGAGATGCTTTGGAGGGTGTCATCAGCAGGGAGATGGGATTGTACGGCTCGGTATGATTCACATTTGGAAAGGATGGATTGCCATTCGTTTATCGCTGAAATAAAGCGCGCGGGGATCTTGGGAGAACACGAAAAAATGCTTAAAAATATTACGAGCGCAGCGAGTAGCAATCTCGAGTCCAGATGCTCGCGCATTGTCATCCGCTGGATGGCAAAATTGTGGGCTCTGGGTACGAGATTGAGCGAGTAACAGTATGACAAATTATGATTACGACTAATATTGGAAGCGATAGAATACAATAATTGTGGTAAAATATATTTTTTGAAAATAGATTTTAGAAAGCTTGCAAATGGAATTGCTAGTGTAATCCAGCGACCAGACTCTTCTTTACGAATGTATTAATCCAGATCAAAAGATTACAATTTTCCGGGTTTTTTTCCAGGGACTGAACTTGGCCGAGTTATTCAACAAAGCCGCTGATCATGGTTTTACCATATATGGTGGTACACGTCAGACTGCTCCTAAAGTTCTCGTCGTTTTCATTCCCGGCCCAGTCTCTAGCAGTCCTGAAGAGATCAGAAGAGCTGCGGACAAACTGAAGGGACTGGGAGTGAGACTCGTAATCCTTGGTTTGAATAATGCAATTGATAAGGCACTCTACAGTACCATAGTTACCCAGCCTGCCTCAAAATACCTGCTTACCGCTGACACATATAACGGGTTGAGTCTTGCCTTGAGTGCAGCTCAAAACAGAATCTGTAACGGTAATAACCAATCAATAATCAACCTTCAACAAAGGAGTCAAACTTTGTAGAGCAGTTGTCGTGTGGCTTGGGAACTAACCTTGATCTTTTTCTAGCTAAATATGGTAGGTGCCCCAAAACCCCCGAACCACCCGCTGAGTGTCCAGATGACGCTGAAGACGAATGTTCACAGGATCGAGACTGTAAGACACCAGGGGATCTTTGCTGCAAAGGAGGATGCTCAAGAACCTGCCAAAAGGGCGTTGAAAGTAAGTCTTTCAACACTAGTTTTTTTAATAAAAAAATAATATAATTTACTGTTTAAAGCGGTTTATAGAATATATTCTTGATTATCATAGATTGTTTTGTCCCAATGGACATCGCCTTTGCTCTCGATGTGTCTGAGACGACAACAAGTGACCAGCTGAAGGAAATGAAGGAGTTTGTCAGAGAGACTATGAGATCATTTGCTTCTGCAGAAAATGACATTCACTTCAGTCTTATGCAATATGCAGGTAAAATATTCGGACAAATAATTCAAACACCTATATGTTGCCAATGCGTTGTTTTGTCGAAAGCATACAAGGTACAAGTTTAGGAAGATTACCATCTTTCAATATCACAGGAAGCCCACAACAGCTAACTCAAGGCTTTAGACGCTTCCCTTCGGAAGGAGATTTGCTCAATGTTCTGAATAATGTCAAGGCAACGGGAGATCCAAGAAGACGAGTAGATCTGGCCCTAGCCTCTGCAAAGCGTAACATCTTCAGTCTGGAAGGACGCATGCGTCATGGACATCCTAGGTAAGTCTGGATAACTACAGCGTTACTGCAACAAAACAAGTTTCTGGAAACTTGCGCAGTCTAACACGAGTTATTATGAAATTGAGCATGCGTAAAATTCATGTCCCAAAAATCTGAGAAAAAAAAGGAGTTACCAACAGTGCAATGTCTTTGGGAGTTGCTTCAATCCTTTTAAAACCTTAAATTGCAATTTTCTTCTTGTAAAAATAATAATCATAATTAATAATAATAATTTAACATTTATATAGCGCACGGTCCATAGAAAGATGCTCACGTGCAGGTATGCACACAAGAAACAAAAAGATTGTGCAATTATTCAGCAACTTGTTTCAGATTCCAGTGGCGAGACAACTTGATGAGAAATTTGCGAGTCTAACAGGAGCTCAAAAGAGCCCARTAGAGATTAGTGGAGCTCAATATCCTCAAACTAAGAAAAATTAAACCTGATTAGGCGTATTATTAGGAGTATTATTCCTTAGTAAAAACACAGGAATAAGGACCTAAGGCTACATATTTTAATCAGTAAGAATAGGTTCTTATATATATTGTGCTCAACTGGAAATCAACCATAAGACCGGATCAGTCACCTAATTTTCACTTTTCATTTATTCTTTTTCTAGATATTTAATCTTCGTTACTTCTGCTGTTACGTCAGCAGACTCAACTGATCTGCCTCAAGCTAGGAGTCCTCTTGATTCAATAAACGTGAAAACTATTGCTATCGGCGCCAACAAAGATGTTCAAACAGATTTCCTGAAGCAGTTGGCATCAGAGAATAGTTTGGTCTTCCAAGCGGATTCTCCTGATCAGCTTTCCAATATACGGCAACAAATAACATCCCGATTCTGTGATAGTAAGTCATTCTTAGGAGAGTTAGTRGAGGGGAAGTCCCCTCTACTAACTCTGTTCTTAGAGAAGATTTCGYAGGATTGCGCAACAACATGGATCACGATACGCACCACACCCAGCAAGGTCACATGACCTCGCCTTGCATTGATTCRAAAAAAGACATTYAATGGAATATAACACAGTCAARGCAATAAACGGTCAAAATTTTTGCACACTCTTACGAAATCCGCTCTTYGCCAATTTTACACGGGAAGTACATTTAGTAAACGGCGAATTAAAAAAACTTTATCATTAAAACTTGTTCGCAGTTTAGACAAATGTTTTATCCTACGGCTTGTCCGCCAGAAATGAAAATATAGATGAGCCAAAGCGTTCACACGAGATGGACAACAGTCCAAAAAAAAAAAAAATGTTCAGCGCGATAAGTCAACATGTCTCCGTGTAGATGCACAAATACTCTACTTCTATTTAGCATTATGATTCCACAACAAATTTTCCTCCGCTCTCACCGGTCGAGAGTCGACAACGTGATACAATAGTGAATTGCGTTCTTGACTATTTGTTTTTCGGAACATCCACTTTCCGAGATAAATAAAACAGTCACTTTTCAATTATAATTTGCTTCCATGGATAATTATATATTAGCTACGTTCAATCGTGAGAGATCTTTTCAACAGTCTAAGATAAAATCGTTATCTCCGCTCGCCAAGTAATATCCTCTATATCAGCAAGAATATCTTGGTAATTGTCGTCTGTTCMTAAAGTATCTCTTTTTTCTATTAAAAACAGAGAAACCAGGAAAATGTGTTCCACCTTCAGTACCTCCAGATCCTGCAGTATGTGCGTCACAACCTAAAGTCCCCCTTCAGTTCATACCATGCGGAGATTCACTTAAAGGAAAGGAAGGACGATCACAACGAGAGAACGACTGGGATTGCCCAGGGGAATCTAAGTGCTGTAAGGACCCTGATACGGGATGTCACAATGTCTGCCGCTACCCACCAATTGGTATGTTAATTTCGTTCTCTAAGTCGTTTGTACTAGTTTTCRAACGTTAAGTCTTACATGTTCCGAGTTCAGTGAAAACACGCTAGATGATAATGATGAACAAAGAACTTTAAGTCGTTCAGCCAAAATTAATCGGGCTTTTGAGCAATCGGGTCCTGAATGGCCAAATTGCGAATTACCAGAATTCGATGTTTTMGAATGAATCAATTGAATTTCTAATCGTTACATTTGCGTCACGTTTTAGTTTGCAACAAAGTCAAAGATCTTGAGCTTGTGGTAGAAGCATCTCAATTCATCGGTGAAGGTGCTTTTGCAAGGATAAAACARTTCCTGCAGTATTTCGTTGAGGCGTTTGGAGTTAGTCGCGATGGCACCCATGTTGGAATGATAACGTATGGTTCACGTAATCGCGAGGCGTTCAGACTGAATGCGTACAGAGATATTAAGGGTGTAAAGGACGGCATCAAGAATGCWCGGTTCATGGGTGGATTCCCTTATCCATCAGAAGCTTTGGTMACTGCTCTTGACGTGTCGTTCACTAGACGTGGTGGCGCACGACCGGAAAATGTCAACAAGGTAAATCACGGTAGTGTAGTTAGGGGTCATGGGGGACACGTTATGTTGTGTTGTTTCGCGTTGTGTGGTGTGGGTTTTTTGTGTTGTGTCATGTCTTGTCGTGTCGTGTTATGCTGTGTTGTGTTAATAACAATAATAATTATTATTAATTTGTGCTGTGCTGTGCTGTGCTGTGCTGTGCTGTGCTGTGCTGTGCTGTGCTGTGCTGTGCTGTGCTGTGCTGTGCTGTGCTGTGCTGTGCTGTGCTGTCCTGTGCTCTGCTGTGCTGTGCTGTCCTTTGCTGTGCTCTGCTGTGCTGTGCTTGAGGTGTTTTTTTATATTTTAGTCCTTAGTGCTCTTCACTACTGGTAAATTCGAAAAGCCTGAAAAAGCTGCTGCAGTAGCCTTCCAACTGAAAGAGAAGCTTATTGATGTTTACGCTGTTGCCATTGGTGACAATCCAGAAATAGACAACCTTAGAAATGTAGTCTCCAGGCCTCTTGAAGATAATATCTTTATGGTGTCATCACCTGAAGCTCTTCGAGCCCAGGCTCGCGCGTTGGTCAAAAGAGTTTGCGATGGAGGTATGTCATTTTTTAATTTGCTTAACGTGRCCGTAAATCATAGTTTTTATACAAAAATATTCATAATTCTTATTTCTATTCAAGCGTGTTTTACCATATTAATGTAAGTGAAAGAGAACATGTATATTCTATGTAACCAACGATGGGTTTTTCAGACCGAATTAAACATCTCTTCATCTGAAGACAGAAAATRCACCGAGAATACCATTCCACCATTCCTTCTCTCTCCTCTCCCWTTTAGTCAGAATCCTTTCCCCCTTCTTTTCAAATAGAAGTCCTTTTTGTTGTTGTTGTTGTTTTTGTTCTTTCGTTTTTTTTCTTTAATACTTCCCAGTACACTTTGCGGGATAATATAAGATAATATAACGTGAGCTCCGTGAGTCACCTTTGTCATAACAATTTTCTCTTCTTTTTTTTTTATAGCTGAGAAGAATTACGTGGTATGTAATAAGTTTGTTTATGTTCAATTATTTGATTATCATGTACAATCATTTACAGGTATTCACCGAAAAGTTGACGGAGTGAATATTATACGTTCACCATTCATTCCGGCAACTRTGTTAGCTATATATGGATACCGTACATCCAAATATGGCTATTAAATGAAGTATAACTAAATATGGGCATCGCACATAATCATATATTTTATATGAATATTGCATATTCAACCATATATGGATACAGTCTTTGAGTTACTAGTRAACGTTGTTCTCACTGTTGGCAATTAGACCGAAAGGAATCATGGATAAACAAGAATCACAGTTCACTGTAAACTGAGAACTAATATATTTTTTCGCATTGCAAAGGTGCGAGGAYGCTTGTTGAAATATTTTTATCCACAATCCTTTYCGGTTTAGTCGCGAATGGKTGAGTTAGAGCAACCTGACTACACAACCAAGACTGCATATTATGGTATAGCAAATCATAAACAAGTAGCATTGTATTCCAACGATATGTTGCATTTTACTTGCTCATTGCAGCTACATTTGCTAACCATAGTGTTTGTCATTTATAATTATTATCTTATTCTCTTAATTGGTGGCTATAAGAACTCAATCGATTTATCCGCCTTGTAACTTTACTTTTASTTRMATCAGTTTTTATGTAWTCATTCTTTYGTGTTGAATGTAWGCCATGCATTGTTGACTACTTGTTGCAAAAAATATTGCCATTGCAATGGTGTAAAAATGTTAGGTSCCGAAGAAGGTAGCAATATCATGCCAATCGTGTGTACGGTAAGTATGATAAGGTAGGTTCGTATGTGATGTATTCTGATCATTTTGTTATATAATTTGTAATTATATATCATAATTACATTTGTGTTTTGAATTTAATGTACTGAATTTGTTTGTTGATATACACGGAGCTATTTAAGAAAARGTTTAATACTGCATAGTTCATTGCCAGACCGCAATGCMTTGTTACCATTAAATTCMAATTTAGCGGCTTTGAAAATGACAAGTCTAAACTTATTGAAATTAATGTCGACTGTACAGAGCTGGTACGGTCACTCTCAACCCAGGAAAACGTATTTTGAACGCCGATAGAAAAGGACCAGCAATGCGTTTCTGTCTTGGTATAAACTATCTTCAAATAAACTATCTTCGTTCAGTATTCAGCGTTTTCTGAAATAGTTGTATCAACTTATTTTTATCATATCTTTTGTTATTGGTTATTTGATATACTGAATTTGTATTTATGTATACTGTAGTAATTGTYATGTTATCATGTATTCAGAATTCCTTTGCATTTTTCCATTAAATAATTAATTCATTCGTCCATACATTATATATTTCACAAAGCTACATCTGCTTGCTTGTCCATTCATACTTTATAGAAATTGTATAGATATATAACTTACAACTAAAGTGCAATTACTATGTTTTTGATATCCTTTAGCTAGCCTGCCTTCGTACGCTTATACGCCTACATGTTTCAATATTGATTTATAGGGAATAGAAAGTGCTACAGTTGAGTATCTGGGAGTAAAGTCCCTGTCGCGCTCATTATCAGCAGCTGAGAAATTCATTCTATCGACCATGTGTATAAATACCTGGTTCATCGTTTCTACACTATTTTAGTAGGTTGGGTAACCCACCCCAATATCGTCAATACTAGCTTTTCTTCGCAGTTGTAAGGGCGATGGTTAGCCGTATATAGTAGTCCCTTCCCAGGCTACGCACAAGGATAGCTCAGCAGGTAGAGCATCGGACTTTAGTGCGGGAGGTCGCAGGTTCAAACCCAGGCCGGACCAACACTCAGGGTCTTAAAATAATTGAAATAAATTGCTGCCTTTGTCTTTCTCCATCTGCAAATGGTAAGATCTTCTCGTCCTCTCGGATAACGACGTAAAATCGGAGGTCCCGTCTCTCTACACTTCACTCACTAACCTGTATTAGAGGGACGTTAAAGAACCCACACCACTGTTGGCATAAGAGTAGGGAATAATTCCCGGTGTGTGTGGCTAGGCCTTACTACTAACCCATACTAATTACTAACCCCTCATGATTGTAAGCCGCGTGGCTGCCAATTGCGCCTTAAAACAGCGGTCCGTGTGAAATGATCTATACATGTGAAGCGCCTTTGAACTCAGAGGATATCGGCGCTATATAAATACCACATATTATTATTATTATTATTATTATTATAGGCTGTGAAGGTGACTGACCGTATGAATAGCTTGTTAAAGTGCAGGTAAAGAATAACAAGATCATGCCACTGACGAGCTATCTTCACTACCAATGAGGTCGTAAAAACATATTGCATATATCTATAGTTTTTGAACAAGGGCGGATMCAGGATTTGGTGCGGGGCACTCAGTAGGGGGTGCACCCCACAAAAAATCATTACTATGAAGATACAAAATAAGTAAAGTATGGAAGGATAAGGAGGAGGGGGTGCGCACCCCCTGCACCCACCAGCTGGATCTGTTGAAAGAGACCTTAAGACACACTGTATCCGTGTACGAGAAACACTTAAATACGGGTATCCTACCTCCTACACAGGAGAAAAGAGTTGGTTACCGGGTAGACGGATGATGACATTATTACATTTGTCAAACCATGGAGATCCTTTATGTGAACTGTGAATTGATAAACATGCTTATATACCYGTACCCGTAGACCTAAAAAAGTCACATTTTGTCTCTAATGACTAAACAAATCTTAATTTGCTATTTTTGAAATAACTAAACAGCAGAGTCATTTGCAAAAATTCTGACTGCTTTTAAGCATATATCATTTAAAAAAATTATATATCGGGTGCATCAAGGGTAATTTCATGTCATTTTCACTCTTTTCTCGTTTAAAAAGATCGCGCAAATCATTAAACTTAATCAAATTATAGTTTTTATTAATGGTTATGAAATAAAAATTGGCAGTTTTATAACAAAATTTGAAATAACAACTACCCTATATATTGATATATTTTATACAAGTTGGTGGTCAGAATTTCTTCAAGTGACTGTATACATGCATGTTGCAAAAACATCAAAATAACCAACAATTCTGATGTTGTGACTAATAAAATTTTAATTTTTTTTTAGGGSATTCACGTTGTATTTGGTGCTACCATAMATTTATGTAGTTCGTACTCAAGGGATTCCTGACAATGAAAAACCTCAATGATGGATTGTCTGAGTTTAAATTKAATGTTATTTTTTTWAAAGGAATCTACAATTGTCAAGCAGCTATTGTGCATTGCGCATGTGTTCGCCGAGAGGTCTAATTGTTTTAGTATAAACATACTAATCGGTCAAATAACGAAAACAAATTGAAATATCCTTAAAATAGTTTATAATTTATAATTTATTTATTTTGATTTTCCCGCTAGTGGTCTATCACAAATTAGACCATTAGTAGAGTAGCCAATCACAGCGCAGTATGAGTGATAGACCATTAGTAGAGTAGCCAATCACAGCGCAGTATGAGTGATAGACCATTAGTATGTTTATACTAACATGTGATAGTTATCGATACTTTCTGTGTTATCACTTGGTGAAAAAAAGCTTAATAAAACTAAAACCAAAAGACAACTTGATATCACTCTAGATAATGAAATTGGTGTCAATAAATTCAATTCTATTATTTACAGAGTCTATTTAATAAATTGCGCACGGTTTTGACTTGTGTGCTTTCTTATTGATACTCAATAAATGTTTAAAACTCAAGTGGATCCACCAGCGCAGCGAAGAGTTTGTAAACAAGAGGACATAGAACAAAAAATCGTCAAACTTCAGCCTAAAAATTATTATCACAGCCGGGTGTGTCTGTCTCCATATTAAGGAACTTCAGAATTGACAACGAGTACGAGATTGACTACGAGTACGACTTTTAAAATTGGCCTTAAGCTTGCTACTAAACATAAATTGCATTCCTGTGAAAAGATTGAAACATCGAAGAAATAAAAACACGAAGCGGTTTGAAATCCAGTATGACTAACAACACAATAAAAGCTGGTTTGAAAACTCGTATTGAATCTCTTGCTTGTTGTCGATTCTGAAGTTCCCTAAAATATAATTGACAAACTCTAATCAGCCAATCATCGCGCATTCACATAGGTGTGGTAAACACGTGTAATTCTCATAACCTATTTATGGTCAAACACTCATTTTCTAATAAATTAGTATCAAAGAAACTTATTGTTCTTGTTTGTAAAATCTGTTAAGTCGTTTCCTTTCTTAACGGCCCACTTGTAATTCAGTCATGCTTATACTGCAAGAAGTGGAAATAAACAAATCTATCTATCTATCCATTTTTTTCTTCTTAAAAATCCTACTACACCATAATAGCACTATAGCTTTCTATCATTTCTATATCGTGTTGATCATAGTGCCATGCGGTCCTCATATTCATATCTACTACAYCATCATTGATTATCTCTAAGTTCTATCACACATAAGTCTTTTGTCGTTCTGTAGTTCCCTCAGTTTCTTCTCCTTCCCCAGACTGCCGATCTGTTGTATTTTCGCTTTGTCCACTATTGGAATCTTTCTTTGTTGAGCTGTCGACTTCCGTCTTGTCTGCGTCACTTTCTGGTTGAACTGACGCTTTTTCTTTTATAGTGCTATCGGTTTTACCTTTGACTGAGAGATCATTAGACGGTTCGCCACTAGCTTCTACCGTGCTTTCGTCTTTTTTATGTAGATCATTCGATGATTCGCCACTAACTTTTGCCGTGCTTTCGTCTTTGCTATGTAGATCATTTGATGATTCGCCGCCACCTTCTACAATGCTTTCGTCTCTGCAATGTAGATCATTCGATGATTCGCCGCCAGCTTTTACCGTGCTTTCGTCTTTGTTATGAAGATCATTTGATGATTCCCCACTAGCTTCGACCGTGCTTTCGTCTTTGCTATTTAGATCATCCAATGATTTGTCGCCAGCGTCTGCCATGCTTTCATCTTGTAAATTATTTTTTTCATCTTTGTCAGGAGTATTTTGCAAATCCCCACTCGCCTGGGTACCTCCCACATCTTCAGTCTTGCCTGCGATTGCTTCTTCAGAACCACTTCCCACTTTTGACTTCTTTGCCTCGACTTCATCATCTACAACTGTTGGCGTGTGTTTTGAATCGCTTGCTTCTTCACATTGCTTTGTTAGGCCTAGTTTCTCATGAATGAATTTAAAAACGGARTCTTTTGCGTAATGGGAAGTCCAAACGTGTTCATATGTACCTAAAAAAAAAAATGATGCATTAATTGCAAAATACAACGTCTGATTAAAAGCTGGCATTATTGAAAATATTGCAGAAACGTTAACGAAAAACCTTTAAAATTAGCTCATTGAGATTCATAATGAAATGAAAACAATTAGAGCCAACGCACTTGGAGTGACTGAGTAAAAAAAAGAACCCGTGAAATAGATATTACACTAACACGCCTTAGTACGCTATATCTGCATTGTTTTCTTTTGTGTCTATTTACTATCACAAGTTTAACAGTGACATTTTGTTTCACGGGTTTAATGACTTCGCTCTAATCCCTATATTTGTGTTTGCATAGAGCCTTGTCATGGTTTTCACTAGACGTAAGCATAGGGATAAGCCGAGAATAAAAAAAAGGTACAGGAATTAGTGCGGCATAAGACATCGGACAAAAATAGCAATAAGCATAAAAACAAAAATACCTTAATTTTCAAAAGAACAAAGAAAACCCCTTTTTTAAAGCTTTTCGTAAACTCTTCTAATAACAAAAGCTATGCCTCCCATTTTATGCTTATAGCGTAGTGAAAACCAGGCTGTAGAAAAAAAATCAAACAAAAACAAACGAAACCGCGAAGTAGATATTGCACTAATACACCGTAATACCAGAAGTAGCTCTAATTGCCGCAATTGATTTCATTGTCTCTTCTTGATTATCACACTTTAATAATTTGATTGACAGGTTTAATGACTTCACTCTAATAGAGTGCAAGCTGAGTGGCAAACCATGAACTCTGATATACGGCTATTTCAGAAAACGTTGAATTCTGARCACTKCACTCTACAGAGTGCATTCCAAGACCGAAATGCATTGTTTCTATTRAATTCGACRTTTAAAACTTCCTTGCAAAGTGACAATTCTAAACTTAATCGCTACACACTGACGTTTTTGATTGYTTTATGAGCTGGTATAGTGACTCTGAAATCACAAAAACATCTTTTAAACRACGACAGAGCGTCCAACAATKCACTTYGGTCTTAGAATRCACTATCCTCAATATWCAACGTATTTTGATAAAAGCTGCAAACAAATTTAATATAAACATTGACAACATTCTGTGATAAACATTTACATTGTCCAATSAGAGCGAGCATGCCATATTCACTAGTTTACCGCTAGTTCCCACCATATTTACTTAGCCTGCGTCACATCCGGACAAACTTTCCGTTAACTTAACGGAAAGTTTGTCCGGATGTGACGCAGGCTATATTTACTAAACTTAATAATAAATAAAACATTTGATAACTACCTGCAGAAACCACTCCACAGTCGCTGCCTTSAAAATAAGATGTCATGGGTTCATCTAGTGGCTTCGCTGAAGAAACCCAGTTTCTTGTTGTCTTTTAAAAACAAAAACAAAAATATTTCTCAACACTCTGGGACTATACATGAAAGAGGCGTAGCACAGTTCAAGTTTGGCCCACAGGAATGTTGAAATTGTACCCAGTAAATCTATGAAAATATTACTTGATACAGCCAAAATGAATTCCTATAGCCATAATAGGGAATGGCTGTATCTCATTCTACCTATACTAAAATAGTTAAAATATAATTCAAGTTTTTCAAGACACATTTCCATAAGCCTCCTCCATAGCTCCATAGACATCACTAAGAGCCAAGGACTTCCTGTCTTTTTCTGGAAGCCAGAAGAGGTAGAATGCCTGAAGATTGGTACACTAGTTAGCGATCAACATGACAGTTACAAGAAAGGCCCAAAGGAAAATAAAGGAGAAGCCTACATTCCTACATTTGCTACGCCACTGAGAACAAACATTAAACCCCACCCGGCACCCAGTCCATCTCTACTACACTGTAAAATTTAATTACCTTTCTAAACCATTGTTTGATGTCATTTTTCTCGTTATACCCCAAGTGATGAACAGAATCAGTAAATGCAACAACTTTGATGCGTTTCATACTCTCGGGAACATTCCTCACCTGAAACAGATGTTCTCTTAGTGATACTCAGTAGTACTCTTGTGGACATTAGTTATTAATTACCTTTCTAAACCATTGTTTGATGTCATTTTTCTCGTTATACCCCAAGTGATGAACAGAATCAGTAAATGCAACAACTTTGATGCGTTTCATACTCTCGGGAACATTCCTCACCTGAAACAGATGTTRTAATTGTTGCAAATCAAACCATGTCTTATACTTTGCACACAACCAAAAGGGAAGGTTTTCTTTCATCGATTGATTAATGAAAATAATGGAAAAAATAAAATGTATTTTTTTCCTGCCTACCAACTGTTGAACAACCACTCCTCCAAAACTGTGTGCAACAACTGCTATGTCTTTGGCTTTTGCACTGTTGATGAAGTGCTTCCAGACGTATACACAGTGATCCTGAGGAGTTTCACTCCCCTAGAATAGAAATCATGAATGAGTGAAAATAAATAAAAATGTAAAAAGAAAGATTAGAAACAAGGATGACCAAAGGATCTGTGTGAAAATACTCRATGGGAAATCTTGCCAAGTGACCTTCTAGCTTGAGTACTGTCCAAAACAGGTGATCAGAATTCAATAACAAAAAAATACAGTTTCAAATTCCAGTTTTAAAAGTGTTTCTGCTTTAGCATTATGATCTTTGAAGAAAAACAAGTCAAAGTTGGAGCTTGAATATCAGACAATTCAGAAACAGCTGTAATTCTGCCGAAACCATTCTGCCACCATTATTGCAGTCAGATGTTAAAAGTTAGTACGTAAAAAAAGAAATTGGCATGTTGACRAACCTTAATTTTGCCTTTACCAGGGACAAAATTGTGATTTCCATTGGTTACTATGATACCAAACCCTTCCTGGAAATAAGCATGAGAAACATGTTCGTTTAGTGCACACACAAACACTTTAGTGGTAATAATTTATATGGTATATCAAGATTTGGTCAAGCTGTTGTACTGAGATGTGCCTGTATGACTAACTTTCCAATTCTTTATCAGTATACATGTTGTTAAAATAATTTGGACTTGGGGGAAGGGTAATGGGAATAAATGGATATCTTCCATCATGTCTGCATATGATCATGAGCCTTTTCACAACAGTCAATCTTATTACAGTCAAAAGACATGAAGCGTGCCCCCTCAAAACTCCATTATTCATCAATTSATTAATCGATTCTTGATTGACTAAACATTACATTTATTGAAATCAAATTTGAAATCAAACTTCCAAATTTGATTGGATTTATTGATCGGATTTTCATAAAGCCTTCTTCGTATTTCACTTGAAATTTCCACAAGTCGATGCATTGCAATATGCTGTCTTAATTTTGTTGGATCTGTTCCTTCTCGTGAGAAAGGAATGACGGTCTCAAAAAGCTGGAAATGCTGTGTTGTTTTCTGTCATTATYWGAGTTCGAGATTTSAATTWAATTTTGCAKWAATCAACTGAAGTTTGAAAACGAAAAATAAAACGAAAAATCCAATAATGCATTGAATAACAAACAATGCTTCCCYTACACCCCCACAGCCAATGCTGAGGACAGCAATGTTTGTGCATGGAAATAGGGTTCATTTGGAACACAACTTTGTAAGTGGTGGGCACTGTACGTCAGGGGGAAAATTTATGTACATGTAAGTTTCAGTAGACACACATATTGTCCCATGTATTTTGTGGCAGCATAAATAGCATCATCCTACCTTTTGTGCTTGTTTGATGTATGGCTCCATAGTCCCTGATTCCCAGCTGTGATTGATGATTAAACTAATAAGTCAACAATAAAGTTTAGTGTAAGTGAATCACACTCTAGCATCAATGCTGTTTTGGGTCAAATGCTCTCTTGTTTAGTTTCACTTATTTGTAAAATTGATTACACAACATGCCAAAGGCTGGAAAGGACTGTTTTAATAAACCTCATTTTTTATTTTTATATACATTTTACAATCTTTTTCATGTGTATTTTTTATGCAGAATGGTGCTGACTATTCAAGGAAAAACAACTAAATCGCAAATCAATGACAGTTTTCAAAACCTTAACCTACTTCAGAAATAAATGTCAAAATTAGACCTACAATCATACTCTACCAGTTGGCAAATACATGTACCTTTATCACTCATGACTAGGATATTGTGAGCTATATGAGAGTGTGTGTTTATTTATCTTAGTTACTTACAATTATTTAATAAGAATATGTTTAGAGAAACATAATATAAGAAATGACAAAAAGGTTTTTCTAATTGCGWTATTTCGGTGTCGTCATGACGCCATTATCAAGTGCTTGTGAAGATAAATAGATATTACACACAGAATCARTGCTAACAGAAAAAATTTACATGCCAAGTGCTATTGGGAATAAAGTGAGATATTAACAACAATAGATAGCTAGGTAAAATACTTTAGCTTTTATAGAGTCGCTCTGAACATTAATTGAAGGYCTTTTCTCTTTAATATACAGCATTTCAAAAACAAGGCAATCAAACTTCGTTTGGCATTTTCTTAAGATATCTCACTTAAATTTATTCTGTTAGCACTGATTCTGTGTGTAATATCGATTGATCGCCGAAACATGTCAAAATTGAAGGCTGTTGTTTTGTTCCTTAAAATAATATCTATTTATCTTCACTTGCTTGATAATAGCATCATGATGATGCCGAAACACAATTACAAAAACCAAAACATGGTGTGTTTTCTCTCTTAGTTGTTTCTTATAATTATTTATGTGAATTAATAAAATATTGTCATATCAGTTCCAACAAATAATATCTAGTAGTTATTGATCTCTAACATTTGCATTACTCTCCATTTAAGTGTTGGGATCATTGACATTTACAATCACATACCTTCTTGCCCACTGACCAGCACGTACAACACCACTGCCATGAATTAAAATGAGAATTTTCTCATCATCAAGGGCATTTGAGCTCTTGAAGAAAAACCCTTTGGCTTCCTTTGCTTTTGCATTTACCTGTATCAAAGTAAATTTAAATCAGAYATCATTGGTATTGAAATACTAATTGATTGGTCAGGTTTCAATGTATTGGAGATCAAATGATTTCCAAGTTAATATTTAAGAAATATAAAAAAGGCATGAGTGTCTCTGTCCCCTGATATAAACATGGTGCATTAGTTTAGAAACACAAGCRTAGTGTTTCTCTTGCTTCTCGACTGCTTTTCAACTCCCACTGTGTTTACATGTATATCAGAGGACAGAGACAAAATTAGCCATTTTGTAGTTCTTTCGTAAATTTTTCTGTGTTTTTCGAGTGMATAACAAATTTTTGCRGGTAAGCTGTGTCTCTGTCCTCTGATATAAACAYGGTCATCAGACAATCAAAACTCGCATTATATATATCAAACATTTTAGAAACATAATTATATATTCAGCAGTCTCTAGATCAGATGTTTGTTAACATGAACTAAGCCTCTATCTCACTTTGTTTATCCTTTTTCAGTCTGTTCCCATTCTGCTCTTTTATATTTATAAAATTATAGATAATTTCCAACAACTGCCTTACTGGAATGGTAACTTTTTCAAGTTTTAGATCTTTTTCAAGACTTTCATAAACGAGTTCTGTGATAATCTAGAAAAAAAAACATGATCATCATTACATGTATATCAAAAGAGTCTTTAAGTTGTAAATCAATAACTGAATCTATTAAAGTCTGTCAGCTATTTACATAAACATTTAAGTGATAAGTCAGTCATATATGAAATCAGTTAGCTATAATCCCACCAATAGATCAATTAGTCTAATATTATAGTAAACCAGACATCAAAAACCAATCAATTACCATCAATATTACTGCACATTCAGGCTGAGTTTTATTGGAAAATCAACCTTCAGTTGTAATGGTTGAATTAACCACTTTTCACAGCTTGTCATTATAGATAAACCCACTGCCAACTTACCATGTATTCATTTTTATATCATAGCTCAATTCTAACATACATGCTAATTGGTGGATTTCATGAGAAAAGCTATGGTTTATTTCACAGGTAAACCAGACTGCTGCCTTGAAAGACTTTTGAGTCTAAATGGCTGACGCCAGCTATATAACATAAAGCAATAAACGATAGCTTGAAGTGGTTTACTGGCGAAAGGGATGGTTGGGAGAACACGAGAAAAGATTAAATCACAAGCTGTCATGCCAAACCACTTCAAGCTATYGTTTATTGCTTAAGTTGCTTCAATGCCATCAGTTAAGTTAAAAATGTGTTGTTGAGAGACAGTTGTGCAATTCAACTCTGCTGTCAGTGTTAATATAGCATTGTTTACCTCTCCAATCTCCTCATATCTCATTTGGTTTAATTCCCTGTTTCCATAATGAACATCAAATTCAAATGCTTTCTTATCATCGTCAATACTCATCATCCTTGTTTCATTTTCATCTACACATAAAGCAGGAACTTTTAGAAAAGSTAAATGATCTTAATTTTCAATAAAATAATTGCACAATAGCTATGATAGTTACATGCATTAAGTGATTTTGAACAATGGCTTGAAGTTAAAGCTTTCAAGGAAATTTATTGTTTTTCATCGAAAAAGAAATTCAGCCCATTGTTCAAATTTAATAATAAAGCATATTAGTTTTTAAAAAGTGCCTATGACGCCTGACAAAAARTTTCTGATTCTCTGYGAGCTGATTCTATATAAAATRAATAATTGAATGGTGAAATGTTCCTGCATTTCARTGTTGGGTCATTGAGTTATGAAGTTTCAATCTTACAATATGTTAATGAAAATGACRTCAAAGAAGGCTTCATTAGATATAGGAACTTTGAAGGTGTCACTTGAAAATGGTTTCATGGCATTAAATTTATCGTATGCAATGTAGGAAATAACCATTTTCCCTTATGGCGTTTATGGAAACATTTTTGAGCGACTGTTTCAAAGTTCATATGTATCTAATGAAGCCTCCCTGTTGTCATTATCATTACCATAATTATTGGAAAATTAAACCTTCACAACTCAAAGACCCAACACTGAAATGCAGAAATATTTCACCATTCAAATATTCACTTTATATAGAATTAACTCACAGAGAATCAGAAATTATTTTGTCAGGCRTCATAGGCAGCTAACATCTAACAGCTTTTCATTGCWAGGCCAGAATCCTGCGTATATGTGAAAGAAAACAATTTAAACTTATTCCTTTCATAGCAATACTTACATTTAATAAATTGATAGCCATATTGTTTCAACCTTTCCTCTGCAGAAATTTTACTTGATTCAGGTGAGGAAGATTCTGAGTCTTCTGTGAATTTGTGAGACAAAAGAATTTTACTTATATATAAACTAATATCGCCAGGGAAAGTTCTGTTGTAATATTGGACATGTATATTACATGTAGTTCAATAGAATGCAGGGCAGACTAAGAAAAATAACAAACTGTTTCAAGTTATTAAATGGGTCAAGCACACGTCAGACTAAAAAAGTGTTTTTGAAGATTATTTTGTATACAATCTTTTGGTCTATTTTTTTAGTAACGGGTAGACTGGTTATTATTTTTTTTATTTCATTTTCAAATGATTAAAGTGTAGAATGGATGCACATCTTCTACATGTACATGTAATACATTCTATAGAYCTGTAAAGCAATTACATGTAAGAATCCTACACCTTTTCACTCCATGAARGCCTTTACTTGACTGAAAGTACTAACTTGACTGAAGGTTTGCATCAATTCCCRAAATAGAATGCATGCCACAAAAGCGTGAAACAATTCTTAACTGATTRGYGCCTAGTAAAATTTAGTYATCACCTACGTTAAGCACTAAGAATAYATGTCAAGGCATAGACTAGACACAAAGGCTGATAAACAAAACCAAGTTCAATTAAAATAAAAGGTTGAATCCTTTGTCATTAAGTTTATGCCTTGTTRAATTCTTAGTCAGTTGATGACTGAAAAGATTACTAACCGTATACTATTAGCACTGAATATTTAAGAATTTTCACACTTTAGTATCATGCAATCTAAAAATATATATAATAATGTTACATTGCAATTTCATACTTTCAGAGCTTAAGTTATTTCCCATTCTACAGCCACTTGATTTCATATTAGTATTATGATCTGGTTTTAATGYGCAGTATCTTTTGTCATCACTGTGAGCAAGAGAAAGAGAGACCTAAAATAGTAAACTTCATAATCATATTCATGAACAAGTTTGAGTAAGCAATAATAATTTTCTTGGTGGAGGTGGTGGTGAGACCAGACTAGGAAACATTGAATTATATTGTATGACAAGTCAATGCAAGCAATCAATATGAAAACTAGTCCAGCTATGGAAAGTATTTTAAAGAGTAGCTGCACTTGTTAAACAAATTAACAAGRTTATGATTTGAATTAAAGTCAAAATATTGTTGGAAGACATCTTGTTTCTTGCTTCTTTATCAAAATAGGGTTAGAATGCTTTCCATACTTGGACTAGTTTTCACATTATTTGTAATATAATTAATTGCAACATAGAACTGTCAGCTGGACAATAGCTTAAATTTAAGCAATCAAATTTTAAGTCAATCATTGCTGAATCAGAGTTAGTAAAKGACGACAGTCCTCCTCTACTAACTCTGGCTGAATAGAGTGAAACAAAACGCTAAGGTCTGACCYACTAATAGATCTAGAGTAAGGTTCTGTTTCCCACATTCTGATTAATATATAGYGGGATTGCGATCATAAAATCACAAAAGGGTTATTGTGAAAAAAACACACCTTGATAGATAGATTGATGCTTGTAATAATGTACAATAGGGCGACGCTTYGTCTTATGAAAACCATGAAATTCCAAGCACTTCGTAGAAAGAGAACGCAGAGGAAGTTCTTGGAAAAGATGTGTCATTATTTTTGAGATTTAATCCAGGCCTGGTTGCACATACCTAAAATATATGATTTGAGGGGGGAGGGGGAGGAAGGGGGAGATTAATGTCAAAGCAAGATGGCGTCTAGCAACAACAAAAGCASCTCATCAAGGAGCAAAAAACAAAATGTTGATACTCGGTTAAAAGAYCTTAGCATAAGTTYTACTTCTAATGCAAGATCACCCCAGAGATCACCACTAGGTACACGTCCTATACATTCTAAAACATCCTTGCCAAAACAGTCATCCAAAGTTGTCACGACTTCGATATCAACCCGTAGCAACGAAGAGATGTCTGTGGTCGCAAAAGCCAAGGGCTCCAGCAGGGCATGTCAACCATTGGCTAGTGGTTCTAAAGTTATTGCTCCTAAAGAATATACTTGTCGACCTATAATACCTGCCARAAAAGCAGAACTTTTGCCTGTCGCAARAGCGATGCATCGTGATGAATTCGCTCCTCGGGTGAAAAAACTATTTGATCCTGAACGAGAAGCTGCGATAGAAGCCATTCAAAGCGGTATCTACATTGGATGGAGAACAGAGGGAATTAAACACGATTGCATTCGTGTTGGTAGTAATTCTAAATGTTTTTGTGGACATCTTCTCAATCAACATGGGAAGTATGACGGGAACAGTGTGCGGGTTCCCTGTGTAGTAGCCAAATGCAAGTGCAAAGCCTTTGCATTCATACCCTCAAGAGCTGAAGATGTCGGTGAGTTTTGGCTGCAAAGACGTCCCAACTTTGATCCTAGCACATGGAGAGCAAAGTGTAAATGTAAGCACACTCATGAAGAACATGTACCCACCGGGATGCGTGGGTGTCGCKCGAGAGGTTGTGGTTGTTCGACGTTTTTCTCTAATTTTCTTTGCTGCGCTTGCGATAAGCACTGGGAAGATCACGAGACAGTTTTCGAGACAACAGACATGAGGAGATCTGCAGGGATTCCTTATGGAGAGGATTATCTCCCATTTAACGAGTTTCCTGAGCTGCGCAACGTAGTGCTGACTGGACGGGAAGACAATGATACCCAGTACCAACAATTAACTGAAGGGAGGTTTGCTATTCCTAAAGACTCACCCACATCACTTGCACTGCAACTAAAAGGAGACTCTATTCCGCACACAAGAAAATAATGTGTATGTATAATACCTCAGAAATGGTATTGTTACTCAGTCGATATAATTAGCAAATATTGTGAAAGAGACAGTATGACTTTGCATAAGACAAATTTTGATTTTAATTCAAGACTTTCCTGAACTTARGATTCGTTCACGAATCTCTTGTTTTTTGAAATGGCTAATTTAATTAAAACACTAACTTATTCATAGTGGGAAATGGAATCTGAATTGAGAATGTTAGAGACTTTACAGTGGTGGATTCTGGCGGGTTTGGTACAGGAATCGCCAACGTTACTCCACTGTGAAAACATTACGTAATTTTGTATCAATATTCTTCTTGTTATGGTCTAATCCGGGGTCTAATGAGGAACAATAAGTATTTTAGGAACTTTTAGAACCGTAGCCTGTTATGCATTTTGTATAAAAGAATGGGACACCAGTATAAATTACTGAATTGAAGGTCATAATTATAGCTGAGGTTCGTGTACTGTACTTTCATTTTGACCATATGCACGCCCTTCTTGTTTTCACCTCCTGGCMACACGTAAACGTAGATTGAGAATACGATTCGAAAACGACGTGAGCGGACGCGATTTTGTAAATGCAGACTAAATCATAATAAACAAGTGTCATGTTCAAAAATCTCCGGATGCGTGTGGACGYAGCCTCCAGTACTCCCGTACGTGTAACTGGCTAGTTTTCAGCCCCGATTGAACAACCAGTGCTTGCGAGGGTTACTGATGGCCTTATTACGCCTGTATTGGAGCTTTAGTACTACATCTGTACATGGTTGTACAATCTCAGCCAATGAATATCAAAGTTATGTCGATCATTTTGGTCATCGAATGATTCAACAAATTTCTCTCAAGTTGTTAGCATTTTGGAGCAAATAAAACATATCTTTAGAAGGAACTCCTCCAAGGACACAAAAAGTAAGATCTTCGCATTCAGACAGCATAGTAGTGTAGGAGGTGTCAAATTTTGATGGCTGGTCTTGACATGTGATTGACAGCTTCTTTGTCATGATACCAAGATACACATCATCTACGTGGACAAGTTTCTCCTGTAAGAAATGAGATCATGTATAATGTATACATAAACTAGACGCATAGCTGCGTGAACTCGGGGTTCTGCTTGAATATATCAAAACGATGAAGTGACAACAATGAGTGTTGTAGTCGAAGAATTGAGAAGAATTGGACTATATTGAACCTTAATAAAGTTAATAGTCATACTATCAAAAGGCGTAAAGCAAAAAATACTTCCTGGAATAAAAAATAAT